TTACCAGGAATCAGTAATTGCAAACTAAAAGACTAAAATATGTAGGATATAAACTGACTGTCAATGTATGGAACATTACCAGGAATCAGTAATTGTAAACTAAAAGACTAAAATATGTAGGATATAAACTGACTGTCAATGTATGGAACATTACCAGGAATCAGTAATTGCAAACTTAATGACTAAAATATGTTGGATATAAACTGACTGTCAATGTATGGAACATTACCAGGAATCAGTAATTGCAAACTAAAAGACTAAAATATGTAGGATATAAACTGACTGTCAATGTATGGAACATTACCAGGAATCAGTAATTGCAAACTAAAAGACTAAAATATGTAGGATATAAACTGACTGTCAATGTATGGAACATTACCAGGAATCAGTAATTGTAAACTAAAAGACTAAAATATGTAGGATATAAACTGACTGTCAATGTATGGAACATTACCAGGAATCAGTAATTGCAAACTAAAAGACTAAAATATGTAGGATATAAACTGACTGTCAATGTATGGAACATTACCAGGAATCAGTAATTGCAAACTAAAAGACTAAAATATGTAGGATATAAACTGACGTACAAAAGAAAGTACACTCCTGTATTATACTGAGGGGAAAAATAAGGGATCGCATGAAAGCACATGTGTCCCTCTATATTTTTCCCAGGTTTCTTCACAAGCTTGTGAAGAAATCTAGCAAAAAAAAGGAACACTTGTGCTTTCATGTGATCGATTATTTTTTCCAATAGTACATGTATATTTTACAAAAATCCCAACCGAATATTTTGAAAAGTGTTTTGATTTACATTAATCACAGACATTTAGTACGCTTTACTGATACACCACCGATATCACTGACAGTGTTATGAGACAAATATGATTAAAATCACGATTTTGTTGAATCTAACGTGCATGTTATGCGCCAACAGCATAAAACGCAGTTGAATGAGAGTATAAGTGCTAAACCTGTTAACAGCACACATCAAAATGCCAAGATTATCAGCAACGGAGCGAGAACGAGCCCTTGGAATGTCGCAGAGGGGGACTTCCTACAGAAATATTGCCAGGCAGACCGTCATTAGACTAAAATGACGCGTCAGTAGGACTGGAAAGACATCTGACATCTTCATCCCAGAAGACCGAGACTGACCACACCTTAAGATGACATCACCTGCGCATTCTCCATCTGCGCATCCGGATATTCACAATGACGTCATTAGCATTAACAGCGCTAGGGTATGCTGTCGCATCCGGGCATATCGGCCAATTCCGGTTGAACCCGTCAACGTCGATTGAATCGTTGGCAAGGAAAGTGAGTCGCAAATGACGCTATAATATTTTTCAAATTCTGAATTCAAATATGAAACCTATCTGATTTTATTACATCATAACAATTGGAGGGGGATGCTTAATTTCAGAACTTCAAACCATTATCTACCAATTGAAACAGGACGATGGATCAAAACTGCCCCAAATGAAAGATTATGTACTCTCTGTAATGCAAACGATATTGGAGATGAATTTCACTTTTTGTTTATTTGCCCTACCTTGGCCCAAGAAAGGAAAAATTATATCAACAACTATTTCTGCAGAAACCCGAATATGCACAAAAGGAACCACCTTTTTCACTCTAACAAACAAGGAGCAATTCGGAAATTAGCAATATTTTGTATTTAAGATGAACATCATGATGTAAACTTGTACCTCTAATGCCGTAGAACGCTGCCGGAGTGTAAATAAAGTTCAGTTCAGTTCAGTTACGATATCTATGATATTTTGTACACAATGTCTGTCACTTGTAAGTCACATTCAAATCACTTTTCAAAATTACCTTTCTATTTTGGAAAATTATCCAAGAGAGTGTACTTTCTTTTGTACATTAGTTTATATTACTCTGTAGAATTACACGGAGCTGAAGCTTGTGGTACACCATCACGAGCTGATTCAGTCTTCAAGAACCTGCATTTGCATTTGCAGTCTTCTAATTGTAACTAACTAGCGGTCAAAAGAAATAATACCAGGGAGAAGTTAACTATACCTTTGAGGAACCACACAAGTCTTTGAAAAAAACAAACATTTGTATTTGCAGGGCTCCGGATAAAGGCCATATTGGCGTATGTACGGATAAACAATATGCACGATACGATGGGAAATAATTTAGAAAACTTAGCAGATACGCACCACAGCGATGGTGTACGGTTTTAGAATCAGTTACAGACGTATTTATCTGAAAAAAGTAGTGTTTTATTGTTTATTGACCTGTTTACACAAGAGTAGCAATGTTGTGGTGCATATATGAAACAAACACAAGATTACTGATACTCCATTAAATTCCATTCAGTACTCTAAATGTACACTGAAGGTTTTCCAGAACTCTGGAAAAATTATCTGGAGCCCTGTATTTGTAAAACGCCATAGTTTCATTTAATCACCGATGAAAACAAAGTCAGAATCCTTTAGACAAAAGCGCGGTTACATGCCAAGTGTTCGGTCACATCAAAATGAATATGACAATCTTTAGGATGTGAACACTCACTCTTGCTGAGGATGCCAGACGCCTCCTCTGGAATAGCCTGAACAAGCTGTTTCCGGGAATCACAGGTCTTGCGCGAATTTGTCGACCCATCGGTCACACAGGTGCTCACATTGGCGACATGTCAGACCAAGACAGCACGTGGACGTTGTTTCTCTGGAGGAAATCTGTGATAATGATCCTGAAACAAGATCCGGGTGTGGTGTAGGGGTGACAGGACAATGTGGTGCAGTATCTGCTCCGTGTATCTGTGGGTATTCGGATTCCCTTGCACCACGGCAAGATCGGTCTTCATCTGGTCACGGGGCGGTGGGGTAGACAAGTGGGTAAAGCGTTCGCTCGTCACGCCGATGGTCCGGGGTCGATTCCCCACATAGGTACAATGTGGGAAGCCCATTACTGGTGTCCCCCGCCGTGATATTGCAGGAATATTGCTAAAAGCGGCGTAAAACCATACTCACACTTATGACCCCCAATGCGAACTTCACACTGATAAAACCGTAGAATAAATGAACTCATTAACTTTCGTGACGTCTTGGTCGGAATGGCTATCCCGATAAGTGAGGGTATGGCAACAGATGCTACCCAAACCACCACCAAACAGTTCCACCTCCTGGACGCAGAAACCTTGCCATCGTTCGCGTAGTCGTCGGTAGACTTGAGCCCTGCCATCATTGCTGATAAGCTAGAGTTGAGTGAGTGAATTTAGTTTTACGCCGCACTCAGCAATATTCCAGCTATATGGCGGCGGTCTGTAAATAATAGTGTCTTGACCAGACAATCCAGTAATCAACAGCATGATCATCGATCTACGCAATTGTCAACCAAGTCACCGAGCCTGACCACCCGATCCCGTTAGTCGCCTCTTACGACAAGCATGGGTTACTGAAGATTAATATTCTAAACCGGCACTTCACGGGTGCTGAAAAGCTGTAACCTTCTCTCATCAGAAAATGTCACTCTCTGTCAGCTTGAGTGAGTGAGTGAGTTTAGTTTTACGCCGCACTCAGCAATATTACAGCTATATGGCGGCGGTCTGCAAATAATCGAGTCTGGACCAGACAATCCAGTGATCAACAGCATGAGCCTGTCAGCATGATGTAAGAGCTCAACCCGAAGCCATGCAAGCCTTAGTCGTATACGATTTGGGTGAAACGCATCAGGTTTGCTTCTGACATATCTACAAATATATTTGGGGCAAAATTGGGATTCGAAACCCAAGAACACAACACAACTCAAGCGAATTGCGACGCCTTAGGCAACTATTCGTGCCCCCACGTGAGGAAATGACTGCTGTCTAATTCCTCTATCTATTCAAATGTAGCACCCTTAGCATGAGACCGCCTCCGTGGTGTAGTGGTTAGAGCGTCCAACCGGAGAACGGAAGGTCGCGGGTTCATACCAAAAGACGTTAAAATATGGTACTTGTTGGTCCCTGCCTGGCGCTCGGCATTAATGGGTACAACAAGGACTGGTCGGCTCGGAGTCAGTATAATGTGTCTGAGTGGGGTATTCATGCTTCACTGCGGCATGGTATCTCAGTGGGCTAGCACTATAAAACCAGCTTAAGTCTGGGGTAGTACAAGCAGCCGCACATACACATACACACGCATGCACGTCGTCATATGAGCGAAATATTCTCAAGCACGACGTTAAAACCCAATTTCACCTCACCTCACCCTTAGCATCATTAGATATAACATGTTGCATAAACTCATTATGAATGACCTAGCCTGATTAAGTGAGCTAGTATGGTTTTACACCGCTTTTAGCAATATTCCAGCAATCAGGGGACACCAGAAATTGGCTTCACACATTGTGCCCCTGTGGGGAATCGAACATGGGTTTTCGGCGTGACGAGCAAACGCTTTAACCACTAGGCTACCCCACTGCCCCCAAGCCTGTATCAATACATGTAAGAGCGAATATGAGAATGCCGACAATATCATGAGCTTGTGTCGACAAATCACTATCGAATAATGATGACACCAGTGGTGTTTGCGTTTGCGAAACGTTAAATGTATCCTGGAGTGAGTGCGTGAGTTTAGTTTTACGCCGCACTCAGCAATATTCCAGCTATATGGCGGCGGTCTGTAAATAATTTATGTCCTGCAAATGTTTCCAGGATATCTTTTTGCTTTTTCTTTCATAATGTAAAACCTAACCACTATGGTGATCATGTGATTTATGGGAATGCAAAATGTATACTCAGGGAAACGAATAAGGGAACACCTGAAAGTACAAGTGTTCCTTTCGTCTTTTCCAGGTTTCTTTACAAGGTACGTATTGCACTGTGGGTGAAATTCTGGAAATAAATAAAGAAACGCTTGTACTTTCATGTGTTTCCTTATTCGTTTCCATGGGGATAATTGCTAATACATGCTTTTGTACCACCGTGGTTTGTGATTTAAGAAAAGAAAATTAAATTCAGGTTTTCTTACGACTTCCGCGTCGTCTCATTATCTAATGTTTTTGTCTTAGAACTGTTGATGGCGCCCATAGTGGACGTTGAACGATCAGCGGTGCACGAGAAAACAATCCATAATTAGTTCTTCTTAATTTACAGGTCAGTCGTCTTCTTCAAATTTTAATTATCGTCTCTAAAAAATAAATTCGCCCCAGCTGATGCATGTTATATCATAGATTTTGAACATTTACACGCAGTGCAGCCCCAATTATATCGTTCTTTAAACATGCTCGTTGCGAGGGCGAACCAGCACCTCACGCAAGATTTACAACAAATGCGTGGCCTGAAGTGTCTCGAGTTGCCTTCAGATGTGTCCTTGATGTCTTGGCAAGCGCCCTCGCGTCTCGATCTCAATCAGATCATCCTCACTTGCCCACAAGCACCTCGCAATAACAACCTATATTTCCTCTCAGGGGACCATTCATTATCTCCTAGCTATTGTGTCAAAGTAAGGCCATATGGTCGGCCCGTATAACCCCGTCAAAACATGACTGCTCCCTGGGAGGCTAACACCGTAAAGGGTTTCGGGAATAGGGGTGGTAGTTTCGCCCCGAGGGAGGGGCTTGGTAGAATGGGTCGGGTTACCCTACACTCTGTTTCGAAACCCGCACCGCTCCCTCTTCAAGTACCTGTCAAAAATGGAAGCGGTCTAATGCATATATGTTGTCGGACGCGAGTTTGGGCTGAAACACTGAACCTTGTTTGTCTTTAACATCACGTTAATTTCCCGGTATTGGTAGCTGTGGAAACATGGAGCTGTTGTGTCTGGAAATTAAGAGTTTGTTTAGAATTTCATCAGCACAAAACATACATATGTCACGATAAAACACGCACAGAGATCAGTGCCGTTGCCAACGTGTCTCCCTGACAACAAAGAAATACACGAACCCAGTATAATAAAAATCGAATATAAAAAAAGAAATATTCTCTTAACTTATTCGAACATAAATAAAATACAAGGGTTCTCTAAAGAAACTCACTCACGAATAAGAATAGTTTTAGCAATATTCCAGCAATATCACGGCGGGGGACACCAGGAATGGGCTTCACACATTGTACCGATGTGGGGAATCGAACCCGGGTCTTCAGCACGACGAGCGAACGCTTTAACCACTAGGCTACCCCACCGCCCCTCAAGAATAGGACCACCTCCGTGGCCTAGTGGTAGACTTGACAGCGTCCCTATTCTGGGATGCATAGTGAACATTGATAGTCAGGTTAAGTACCTAGTGAGTGAGTGAGTGAGTTTAGTTTTACGCCGCACTCAGCAATATTCCAGCTATATGGCGGCGGTCTGTAAATAATCGAGTCTGGACCAGACAACCCAGTGATCAACAGCATGAGCATCGATCTGCGCAATTGGGAACCGATGACATGTGTCAACCAAGTCAGCGAGCCTGACCACCCGATCCCGTTAGTCGCCTCTTACGACAAGCATAGTCGCCTTTTACGACAAGCATGGGTTACTGAAGACCAATTCTAACCCGGGACCTTCACGGGTCGGTTAAGTACCTAGAAAGGAGTTATACTCTCTCATTTATATGACTAGCACGTTATGAGGTGAGTATAATAAGATGACCTCTCTGTGAAACTTTAAACACCTCCCTGTAATCTCAGCAGTTTATCCAATAGTTGATGCAGTTCATAAACAATGGATAAAGAAAGGAAAGGTCTGTGGTTCGAATCCCGGTCGCGTCACACTTTCAGTTTATTTTCAAATGTGTGCGCCAAGAGCCAAATGACAAATCTTGAAATATAAATATTTGAAAAAAATATCATAGCGCAAATGCGATGTATTTTTTTAGAGATAAAAATACCAGTCGAACCCCACCCAGCTCCCACCCGTTGTGATCCCGACCCTGGAGATGTACATATGCTGAAACGTCATATTCATGGACAGCTGAAGTTGTAACATTTTCGTTCTTTCATAATATGAAAAATACAACAGCCTTGATATTCTAGGAGTCTAATTTCTACAAACAAGGTTTTCTGTAATAAAAATCCTCCAAATAGCGTTGTGTGTATATATTGCATTTAGGACCAATAAGGAGAACATGGCATTCATCCTCCAGATTGTTTGTACAAAAAGGACAAACGCTTTTAAATACATTGGCATTTTCTATCATCAGAGTGTGAGAACCCACGCAAAATCGAGTTAACGATACTTATAGTTTTTTAATATCAAATCTCAATCAAAAGTCTATCAAATTCTAAAGTGCCTAATTCACATTTAAAGTATCCAAACCCATAAACGTTACTGATCTCTCAGCAGTGATGGGGCGGTGGGGTAGCCAAGTGGTTAAAGCGTTCGCTCGTCACGCCAAGGGCCAAGGTTCGACTCCCCACGTCGGTACATTGTGTGAAGCCCATTTCTGGTGTCCCCCGAGGTAATATTGCTGGAGGGCGGTGGGGTAGCCTGGTGGTTAAAGCGCTGGCTCGTCACGCCGAAGACCCGGGTTCGAATCCCCACATGGGTACAATGTGTGAAGCCCATTTCTGGTGTCCCCCCGCCGTGATGTTGCTGGAATATTGCTAAAAGCGGCGTAAAACCATACTCAGTCAGTTAGTAATATTGCTGGAATAATGCTAAAAGCGGCTTAAAAGCCAACTCACTCACTCACACAACAATGTAACCCAAGACTTGTGACCTGAATGATCATCTGCTAGCTTTAGTAAGGCACCACACACAAAGCTCATAAACATTATTACTACAGTCAATAAATTTTAACCAATGTTTCATAATACGTATTAACCTGAGGGTACAAAATGATTGGGTTTCCATGTCCAGAAACATTAAAATCCCTAGGTGTTGACTTTTTAAACGTTAGCACTTGTTTATTAACTTAAGGTGTATCCGCTCCGGGCGGTTGGGTAGTCTGGTGGTTAAAGCGTTTGCTCGTCACGCTGAAAACCCGGGCTCGATTCCCCACATGGGTACAATGTGTGAAGCCAATTTCTGGTGTCCCCCGCCGTGATATTGCTGGAATATTGCTAAAAGCGGCGTAAAACCATACTTACTCACTGTATACGCTCCATTGGTATTGCTTCCATGAAGTCCCGAACTTCACAACCAAAATACTAATTTAAAACGCGAAGATCAGGGTTAGAATTGGTCTTCAGCAACCTATGCCTGTGTAGATCGATGCTAAGGATGTTGATCACTGCATGGATTGTGTGGTCCAGATTTGAATGGAGGGATTCACTTTAAGGCTCGAGTGTGGAGAACATAATATTTGTTCCGAGAGAATTTTATAAGCCTGCGAGGAATCGCCATGACCCATGACCAACGAACACTTTCACCTAGAGGGTTGCATGCAGACACTAGTGTGGCTAGTTTCCCTGTACATATTGCCGAAGAGGTTTTTTGACTGACTGTTTCCTCTTGTTATAAGTGTTAAAATTGAGGAAATTTTTCTTTTTTTAAATATATCGAATAACATGTGCAAGATTATAAGGAGAGGATAAGTTTCAATTAATGTGTTGTTAGAAATTAAAAAACGTAAAGTGTAACGTAAAATCTGACATTTTTACAAGGTTACCGAGAGTTTTCCTGACTAAACGCCATGTTTTGAGAGAAGCGGCAAAGAGCTTCCTGGGTGCTTTGTCCCCTTGAGCCGCGCAGTTAATCAGGGCCGGTAACTCTGTAAGATGCGGGTCGCTAATTCACAGGCTATTGAAGGGACAAGCTAATGAATATGTTCGCCAGTGTCGCTTTAGGAGTCTCTCGTGGATAGCACATAATAGGGGCCTTTTACGAACTCAAATGAGATAATTTCGACTACTTTTACACATGAAAAAATTAGTTAATTTTCCAACATTTGTGAGACATTGTCACTCGATTAAAACTTGCGTTCTGTCACGGGTGGCGCGAATGTGCGCGCGCAACTCAGCACGCGGAGTAGATACGGGAGGATTTAGGGGAAAATTCATTGAATAAATGTTGTGAAAGATTTTGTCGTTGGTTTTATTCAGTCTGCATGAGCAATTATTTTTTATAGGGTTTCATAAAATAAATTTGACGAAAGAGCGATGGTAAGTTTGAATGAAAAATAATGGATTCATTTGAGATAACAACACGTAATATAGAGGAAGGACGTTTGGTTTTTTAAAAAAGGAGTTTCTCGTTTGTATGCGGAAAAAATACATTTGAAACCAGTACCATACATTTATGTGTGCATATGCTCTGATATCCAATATCACTGGTCGCCCGTGTTCCCAACACACTCATGCATACATCATGCATACACCATGCATACATCGGCCAGATTTGGTTGCTGGTGTGTTTCCGTTCGTCCTTTGTGCCCAACACTTTTGATTATTTTTATTTTTTTAAATTTAGTAAGTTTTTGTTTTTGTTTTGTCTTTTATGTAAATTGACATCAATCTGAATATTAGATCCATATTTTTTTTCCCAAGTTTCAAAATATCACCAGTCTCTAACATACGTTTGAATTGGCCAACTTTTCTTTGAGTTTCACACCACGCCTCTGTACATCACAATATCAGTATAGCAGTGTAACGAATAATACTGAGGCTAAGTTTACTTAAACTGTCTCTGATGAATTCTCATATTGTAATTTAACTTTGAAAGATTCTTTGATTTTGTACGGTTGAATAGTTGACGTGTAAGTTGTCCTTACTCTATTGTTAGCGTTGTTTTGTTAACTGGGATCTTTTTGTTTTGCTTAAATAGTATCATTTTATTTTTTAATTGTTTTTGTTTCTTCTTCTTCTTCTTTTTTAAATCATATTTCTTTTGGTTTAATAAAGAGCAGGCTTAGGGGCAGCAACTGTGGCGGTGTCGGATGGAACGATAAGATTATCGATGTCGACACTTTGCCTGAGACTAAATTCACGTGATTTGTGTCACATGCCTGTTCCACAAAGATAACTCAGTGCTGGGAGACCTACGAAGCCTGGTCGAAGCACGAAGATCGGTTCGTGGCATATCTTCACAAGGGCTGTTCACAAAGAGATCTTAGCCTTACGTGAATATACGAACCCTGGACGAAGCACGAAGATCGGTTCGTGGCATATCTCCACAAGGGCTGTTCACACAGAGATCTTAGCCTTACGTGAATATACGAACCCTGGTCGAAGCACGAAGATCGGTTCGTGGCATATCTCCACAAGGGCTGTTCACAAAGAGGTCTTAGCCTTACGTGAATACGAACCCTGGTACGAACCCTGGTCGAAGCACGAAGATCGGTTCGTGGCATATCTTCACAAGGGCTGTTCACAAAGAGATCTTAGCCTTACGTGAATATACGAACCCTGGACGAAGCACGAAGATCGGTTCGTGGCATATCTCCACAAGGGCTGTTCACAAAGAGATCTTAGCCTTACGTGAATATACGAACCCTGGACGAAGCACGAAGATCGGTTCGTGGCATATCTCCACAAGGGCTGTTCACAAAGAGATCTTAGCCTTACGTGAATATACGAACCCTGGTCGAAGCACGAAGATCGGTTCGTGGCATATCTCCACAAGGGCTGTTCACAAAGAGATCTTAGCCTTACGTGAATATACGAAGCCTGGTCGAAGTACGAAGATCGGTTCGTGGCATATCTCCACAAGGGCTGTTCACAAAGAGATCTAAGCCTTACGTGAATATACGAACCCTGGTCGAAGCACGAAGATCGGTTTGCGATGTCCCATAGACCCCTTCAACAAACAAATCAGAGCAAAACATTCACCAGACAGGGTACAATAACCAACATAATTACCTCTTATTGCTGGCAAATACGACAAATAATCGCAAACAGGGAGATCGGTTTTCTTTCACTGACCCATGAATCCCCAGTAAGGTGGTCTGGCTTTCGTGACTGGTGGTATACAGCTCGTATTTTAATGGTATTGCATGTAATACTGATCTTTGTGTTGAGTAAAGTCTTTTATCATTTGAAATGGTTAGTTTTTAGATTCAAATTGTGATAACTTGCTAATGTTTTACTGTCCTTTGCGAAGATATTTCATATAGTTAAACCAAATGATTGTCGTTACTATATGGCCAAAAAATTGCCGATGTAACGTATATAGTTTTAACTCTCACTCACTCACTCACTGACCCATGACATACAGATCTTAGCTGCGGAAAATACGACAAATAGTCGTAGCAGAAAAATCGGTTTGTTCCACACATGTTCACTTCCACAAAGAGACATGTGGCATGCGGCATGTAGCGTTAAGATCGACACAGACCCAAGCACGAAGAGACTGCTGTAACTCCCTAGTGTTGAGCCTTGCGATGGACGTAGAGTAGTCTGTCTCACAGCCCCTGAACCACATTATTTTCCCTACAGCCTAGCCTTCCCTGCAGTGCTAAAGCCCTAAATGAAGCAAGTCTAGATTTCCTCAGGTTCAGGCCTGAATCTCTGGTCTCCCTGGGGCTCCTTTTCAATTTATAATAGGTTTGTTTGTTACTATCGCAATTATATCTATTCAGAGACTAAGCATTAGTCTAGATGTAGCGTTAAGATCACTTAAGGAAATGGCCTCACTAGTGCTGGTTGAGCTTGTCTTGCATCAGACCCCGACATGAAGGGAGAGTGAGTGAGTTGAGCTTTACGCCACACTCAGCAATATTCCAGCTGTAAATAATCGAGTCTGGACCAGACAATCCAGTGATCAACAGCATGCACATCGATCTACGCAATTGGGAACCGATGACATTTGTCAACCAAGTCAGCGAGCCTGAACACCCGATCTCGTTAGTCGCCTCTTACGACAACCATGGATTACTGAAGATCAATTCTAACCCGGATCTTCACGGGTCACATGTAGGGAGACATTCACCAGATTTATTACTTGTCTCTCACACAGTTTGGGTGAGCATACATTGGATATCGCTCGTTATATACCAAAAGCAGAGAGAATGTTGTTTTATGACAGAAGCCTTCAGCTATGTGTCTGTAAATCAGTCAAATCAGTGTGAGTGAGAGAGAGAGAGAGAGAGAGAGAGAGAGAGAGAGAGAGAGTATGGTTTTACGCCGCTTTTAGCATTGTTCCAGCAATATCAAGGCAGAAATGGGCTTCACATATTGTACCCATGTGGGGAATCAAACCAAGGACATCGTCGTGACGAGCGAACGCTTTAAGCACTAGGCTAACCCACCGCCCCCACAATTCATCATGCGTTTAACAATTCATCATGCGTTTAACAATTCATCATGCGTTTAACAATTCATCATCCGTTTAACAATTCATCATGCGTTTAACAATTCATCATCCGTTTAACAATTCATCATGCGTTTAACAATTCATCATGCTGTCATATGTACAAGTGTAAATATGATGAATTCAACAATTCACAATGAGTTCAACAATTCATCATATGAACAAATCTAAATGAATGGTGGAAATCAGGTGTGCTACAGAGTCAAGTGGGTTGTGGCTAGGACTGTGCATTGGCAACTATATTGTATTGCAATATATTGCGATTCAGGTACCCGTATTGCGATACGTATTGCGATATATTGGGGACTTGTGTGTTTGACAGTGAGTCACACTAATTGTGAATGCCAATCCTATTTTCTACATTATAAGTCCCTAAACATATGTGTTATGAATATCGCTCTGATAACAGCAACCTCAAAATTAGGTTGCATAGTCAGGGATTCTATTTTCTTTTTTATACAATTTATAGTATTACAATATGCAGTTTTGTCATTTAGTAACGAAGGGAAACATTTGTTGTGAATGAAAGTCCGTGTAAATTTTTATTTAAACCATAAAGATCATCACAAAAACTTCATGGTTCTATACCCAATATACCGGTTTTCGGAAAAATATTGCAATACATATCGTTTGAAAAGAGTAATGCGATATAACGGTATACCTAGACTAACAACTAGTCTCTGAAATGAACATATTTTACTGAAAAAAGTTCATAGTAAAAAAAATATAATATAATGAAAATGAGGCCTGAGACTTGAAGCTGAGGAAATCTAGACTTGCCACATTTTCTAGACTTGCGTGGGCTTGCTTGGATATATTTGCTTCAGGGTCTGTATGACAGACTACGGTATACCGTGCAGTCTTAGTTGTGGCGGGAGTAAAACACGAGAAGCGTTCGTAAAATATACTTTGTTTCTGCCCAACCACAATGTTGTCACTCCGACATAAGCCAATGACCTCCATTCTTCTCCTATGTTTACGAAAGAGGGATATCACTGTTATTCAACGCAGCAAACTGTTACAAGGCGATCGATGATCACCATATGTTTGGTGAGACGTGAACAGATATCAGATTTCTATCAATATTACCGAATCAACATGGTAACATATCGATTGTGAACGCTGTGTCTGGGACATAAACCGTTATGTTGTTTGGTCAATAACAGTCTGTGCTGAAAAACATGTGTTGTTATTACTTGTACGTCGGCACATAATCATTCGTTATCAATAATCCAATAATAACAGCAACAGTAATAGCAGACATCCAACGCTCTTTGTAAAATGGCCATTGAATTATGTGTGGTTGTTGATTTTGGTTCATGCCAGTGTGCGAAATAGCCATTGGTCCGCTTTCCCGTGGCTAGTAAAAATTCAGTCGGGACAGTAAATCTCGACAGTCACTGGCCCGACAGGCTAGTAAATTTCCACTGGGACATTTTGTAAATATATCACTCTCTCCGAAAGTTATAATAAACTTTTAAATCCTGCAAGATTATGGTCTGACAGATGTTCATCATATATTATAAGCAGATTAATGATGAAACCCGTGTCATGCCGACAATATCTTATTCTCATCTATTTTTACTCAGTTTCTACATTCAAATTTCGGGCATAGCTAGCCTGACTGGATAACAAAATTTGGAAACCATTTCGCATACTGGTCCATGCCTTCACAAACCTATGGTTGTAAAGGGAGACTAACGGGACAGGCTTGCTGACTTGGTTGATGCATGTCATCATCCCAACTGCGTAGATCGGTGCTCTTATTGTCAATCACTGGGTTGTCTGGTCCAGACTCAATATTTACAGATCGCCGTCATATAGCTGGAATAGTGCTAATTGTGGCGTTAAACAACAAACGACAAACACTGTTGGCATTGACATTGATGTCCACGGACGATGGGGTGGCCAAATCAGGGTTTGCAATACTTTAATTTGCCAGTTGGCCACCAGGGCCTGCTGCCGCCTGCAGGCTTTAATATCTACAGGCCCTGAATGAAATCTGCAGGCCAGTTGTGTTAAAGTCAAACCAATAAAAACAAAATAGACTACACTGTACAGAGTTTCACACTGTTTGTACAAAATGAATTAGCGAAGCCTATGGCGCAGAGAGACGTTTTATTTGTTAAAGACTGGTGTTGACATTCCTATATGCGCAAAGCGTTGGAATACCAGGGAGTGAAACTGTAAGTTCTCGTAATTATAACATGGTGGATCATGGATGATTCCGGAACGTTAATAAAGAAAAAAAAAAAGGAAAGATTCCAGTTGAAAAAAAGACATAATTTACTAAAGACCACAAGGGCCTGGTATTTGAAACTGCAGGCCCGATACAATAACAACCGGCGCTGGGCCTCCGGGCCGGCGATTATTTCGAACGCTGGGCCAAATGGTTAAAGCGTTCACTCGTCACGCCAAAGACCAGGGTTCGATTCATCACAAGGATACAATGTGCGACGCCGTAGTGTGTTTCGAACCCCCCTTTCCGTAACCTCCAAGAAGATTCGGCTTGTCCCGGAATAACATGAATTGGTCACGAATGGGATATAGGGATACATGTGATTGTGTTGAATTTCAACATCCCTGCTGTTGAAGTATTTAATTCCAACCACCGCCACACCGGCAATCGAGAGACGTAAGAGTTTATATGCAATAAAACATTGCGCTGGGATACAGGTGACATATCTTAATAATCTCATCATCCCTGTTGCTATCGTGATTCAGACGAAGAAAATAAGCAAAATGATAATTGTTAATCATTTACGAAGCGGTTACTAATATAGACATTGTAGCACCATTATGAACCATGTAGCGACAAATTGCATACACTTTTAGTGATATTCAATACAATTGATTAGTATTGATTACTGCTATGATAACAACGACGTATTAAAGAGTATGAGATGCTTTATACACCAGCTACTGAATACAGGTTTGTGCGTGCGTATGTTTTTCTCTAAATAGATAGATCACCTCACTTAATACATACAGACAGATAGATAGATTTAAGCCTCAACTCACTTAATATATACAGACAGATAGATAGATTTAAGCCTCACCTCACTTAATATATACAGATGGATAGATAGACAGATAGATAGATAGATAGGTAGATAGGTAGGTAGGTAGGTAGGTAGGTAGGTAGGTAGGTAGATAGATAGATAGATAGATAGATAGATAGATATAAGCCTTACCTCACTTAATATGTACATAAAATACAAAGCATATAATTATGATACATAAAAGACGTGTGCCACCCATTCATGGCTATAGCCACATGGCTATGGATAGATGGATGGATGGATAGATAGATAGATAGATAGATAGATTTAAGCCTCACCTCACTTAATATATACAGATGGATGGATGGATAGATAGATAGATAGAAAATAGATAGATAGATAGATTTAAGCCTTACCTCACTTAATATATACAGATGGATGGATGGATAGATAGATAGATAGATAGGTAGGTAGATAGGTAGATAGGTAGGTAGGTAGGTAGGTAGGTAGGTAGATAGATAGATAGGTAGATATAAGCCTTACCTCACTTAATATGTACATAAAATACAAAGCATATAATTATGATACATAAAAGACGTGTGCCACCCATTCATGGCTATAGCCACATGGCTATGGATAGATGGATGGATGGATAGATAGATAGATAGATAGATTTAAGCCTCACCTCACTTAATATATACAGATGGATGGATGGATAGATAGATAGATAGAAAATAGATAGATAGATAGATAGATTTAAGCCTTACCTCACTTAATATATACAGATGGATGGATGGATAGATAGATAGAAAATAGATAAATAGATAGATAGATTTAAGCCTCACCTCACTTAATATATACTGATGGATGGATGGATGGATAGATTTAAGCCTTACCTCACTTAATATGTACATAAATACAAAGCATACAATTATAATACATAAAAGACGTGAGCCACCCATTCATCGCCATGAGCGACTATAAAAACATTATAGGGGGGGAGGGAGAGGGAGGGGGGAGGTGTCCTGCTTCAGGTTACCGTTCTACGTTCGTTTCCGGGTATTTCAAGTATTTTGACTTGTATAAACGGAATAATATTTCATCAGCCATGCGCAGTAGGTGTTGGTTGATAGTATCGATCTGACACCGTCTGCACGTGTAGACGACGGGTCGTGAAAACCTCTGTTCAATGAGCATGTCGGTTAAACCGGTTCTCCTTGTCCACTGACAGACGCTACGTACATACACTATGTGGGACACAAATATAATATGTCGGAATCTGTATCGGATAACACGGAGTTTCTAAACGTTGGTTTATTGTACAATGGCAGTGGTTGAAGCGTTAGTAAAATGCCTCTGTGTTCCCGGCTTTAATTTATACGTGCACGAGTTGTCTCCCTTAGATTTGCGTTACTTCAGTTTGGCTAACATAAATTACATTTCACTCAAAAGATCCGCATCCTATTCCGTTTCAGGGATAAAGGTTATATTGTAGGTCAATTTACTTATTTATTGCTGAATTTTATTTATTTGAAGGTAAACAAAGCATGAGTCCAATAACGAAAGGTTGGAAACACAAAAAATCAGTCGATAACACGAGACGAGAAAGCGATAACACGAGACGAGAAAGATAACGCGAGACGAGAAAGCGATAGTACGAGATAAAGCGATGGCCCTAATCAGCCACCTTGCAATGTCAATGAGGATCAAACACAGCTTCATTATTTTGTAATACTGTTTCAATTCTGCAATGTATCGACATGCAATAGGGCTGTTTGTTGTGTACTACTGCTTTGAAAGTTGTTAATTTACTCGGATATTCTTCAGAACGCCTATAGGGACTAAAGAGACTGTCCCGTAACTGCACCAAAAACAACAAAACAATGAACATTCACTCCTGATCACTTCCAAAAACTGTAACATACACCGAAAGAAACATGAGTACTACAGTCCTTGAGCAGTAGGGGTGGGTATTGCAGAGAATTTTCATATTGCGATATATTGCGATGCGGAAGCATATATTTCGATATGTATTGCAATATATTGCAAGAATTATTTTTTTAACAAAAACTATTTATAATCGAGTTAATGCTTGATTATAAAGCAAAAACACAACAATTAACCTTTAATAAAAACTTTTAATCATGACAAAATAAAAATGTAAGTAACATTTGGCACTAATGAAACAGGGAAAAGAACAATTAAAAAAACGAATATATCCGAAGATTTCCGAGTGTTACGAAGTTTTCCGAATGCATGTTAAAATACCGGTTTTCGATCAGCGTATCGCAATACGTATCGTTTTCATCTCCGAACCGGTAAATACCGGTAAACCGGTTATATTGCGCAGCCCTATTGAGCAGTATAACTTAATGACGAAATTAGATAAATGACAAAATCATAAGTTCATAAAATCATAGTGGTCATGGATCCGCAGTCAACATTCATTGTCACCATGAAGTATGATACATATCTACTAAACACACTACTTCCATTGAAAGGCGGTGGGGTAGCCTAGTGGTTAAAGCGTTTGCTCGTCACGCCGAAGACCCGGGTTCGATTCCCCACATGGTACAATGTCTGAAGTCCATTTCTGGTGTCCCCCGCCGTGATATTGCTGGAATATTGCTAAAAGCGGCGTAAATCTAAACTCACTAACTCAATCACTCGCTCCATTGAAGGCTTCCGTATAACAAATGTCAGTTCTGTAATGGAAACACATCACATTGCACGTGACTATTTATCACGGTTGGGTTTCTGTAAAATTGTGTGCAGTAGTCCGTTTGAGACAAAATGGTACAGTGAATTACAATCTAACACAAAACAAATAGACATAAAAGAATCAAACCAACGCGGAGTGCAATAAAAACAACAGACCAACTCTAGATAAAAGTGCATAATTTATGTCACAAATATAAAAGTTGTTTAAGAAACTGTCATCATTTAAGTTTGTGCGTTTGCCCAGTTTGTTACAGGGGGCGCAGTGCAATTAAAAATGAATTTGTTTCGTTGGGTATTTTGCAGAAACACCCAAATGTGCTAGAAACCTGCCATTAGGTAAGGGGAGAGACTCATTGTACTACACGCAGGGTGTCCAGGGGCGGATACAGCTTTTTGAGAAAGGGGGGTGCACACTATTGAGAAAAGGGAGGGTGCACACTTCATTTTCATCCGAGTTTCAATGGTCATTTAATAAACTTTCAGTACAAGTGTGTGTGTGTGTGTGTGTGTGTGTGTGTGTGTGTGTGTGTGGGTGTGTGGGGCACCCTGCACCAACACACACACACACCCCACCCCTCTGAATCCGCCTATGGTGTCGGGCTCTTACCTGGCCCCGGGGTCATGAAAGTGACTTAAGTCTAAAAATTGCTTAAGTCTGTCATTTTGATCATTTAAGTGACCGGACATGATTACACAATTCTAAAATTGCCATGGTAACTATCTCAGTCTTAGTCTTAGCTAAGATTTCACTGAGAGAGTTTCATGATTCCAGTCTTATCTACAATCTTAGCTAAGCAAAGTTTTTTGGACTTACGACTTTTTTTGTGCCAAGCATATTTTAGACTTAAGATGTTTTCATGATCCCGGGGCCTGGTTGTTCTCTAGTTTTCAAAGCAAAATCCAGGGACAATAGAGACTACCATACGGAAATGAATGATGAGGTATTCTTAGAATGGGTAAAGCACCAGTTGGTTCCAGCCCTGCCTACACAGTGCTTAGTGGTAATGGACAACGCTATCACAGTGTTCAGGAACCGGTCACTAAAGCTCCTACATCGAACGCCAGAAAGGGGGACATGATATCATGGCTGGAAAAAAACAAAATACCATTTCCTGACAAATCGACGAAACCAATTTTATACGAGATCATCAAATCTAACAAAACAGCTCCTGTATATAAAGTTGACCAGTTTCTTAGAGCCGAAGGTCATGAGATTTTGCGATTGCCGCCATACCACTGAGGTGAGGTGCTATGGGGTTTAACGTCGTGCTTGAGAATATTTCGCTCATATGACGACGTGCATGCGTGTGTATGTGTATGTGCGGCTGCCTGTACTAGCCCAGACTGAAGCTGGTTTTATAGTGCTAGCCCACTGAGATACCATGCCGCAGTGAAGCATGAATACCCCACTCACTCAGACACATTATACTGACTCCGAGCCGACCAGTCCTTGTTGTACCCATTAATGCCGAGCGCCAGGCAGGGACCAACAAGTACCATATGTTAACATCTTTTGATATGACGCGGTCGGGGATCGAACCCGCGACCTTCCGCTGTCCGGGTGGCCGCTTTAACCACTACACCACGGAGGCGGTCGAATCCCATTGAGGTTTTCTGGGGTATTTGAAGTCAGATGTTGGTAGGCAAAACACAACCTTCAAACTAAGTGACGTCCAAAAGTTAGTCGTTCAGTCCATGCAAAATGTTTCACAAGAGACTTGGCAACAGGCATTATTTGAATTTCGCTTTGGTTTACGGGGGTGGGGGGTTGAAGGGAAGAGAGAGTGGTCGGTAGGGTAGTCTAGTGGTTAAAGCGTTGGCTCGTCACGCCGAAGTTCCGGGTTCGAATCCCCACATGGGTACAATGAGTGAAGCCCATTTCTAGTTATCAGCAAGCGTGTGTACTGTGAGACGAACTTAAGAATAATGCCGACCTGTCATTTGAACCCGTGAATCTGAATAGCGGTGCAGTCCATTTTACCATTAAAGGGCCGAGGGTAGGTAAAGCGATAAACTGCTGTGAAGCGTGTCAGTCTACTCTCGCTCTTCTGGAACGGGTTCTATTTGCTAATTTGCGGTTGACGATTTCCATACACAACCCAATACAACACTCGATTTTTTTGTGTTTAACGATAAACAAAATACCAAAAGGTTAATATCTGTCCTAGCCTAGGTTCTGTGTGTGTGAATATGTTATGGATAATACGTTTGTGCTGTCGTCGAGGGGAATGAAATAACGTGATGTAAATTCAACACGGGGTACTAATTAATAATAACTTAGTAATTTTATTGCTCAGTGGTAGTTAATCTGCTATTTGCTACATGTCAGTCTCTTGAATCTGCTACTCGTCATCAATATCACTGATATCACTGTCAAGTTCGATGACAAGCTTTTCGATTTCATCCTCTAGGGCAATTTCTCGATGCCAGTAAAGATCCTCAATTTCCATCACATGTCTGCAACAGTCTGACCATTCCTTCTGGCCAATAGATGACAATCGTTCTTCGCAAGCCCTCTGTACAGAAGCCATTTTGAAATCTAAATTCTGGGACCCAACCCAATTTTTCAAATTCGCCCAAATTATTTCTATGGCATTGAAATCGGCGTGATAAGGAGGTAATCGGAGAACAGTATGCCCATGGGTTTTCAGAATTACATCGACATGATATACGGGGCCGCGCGGACCTGATTTCACAAGTGCAAGCAATTCAGCCTTCAACATTGAATGTGTAAAAGGTATATCATGCCTTTGTAGCCACGATTTGATTTCATCTTTCCGATTGGCAGTTGTTGGAGTTTTGTCCATTTGTTTGCTCTGGTAAGGGGCATTGTCCATTATAACTACTGAGTTTTGGGGCAGATTAGGAATAAGTTTTTCTTGCAACCACTTAGAGAAATTGATGAAATTCATTTCGTCATGGTAATCGCCGCTATTTTGTTTGGCTTTAAATATCAAAGAAGCATTAGGAATGAACCCCTCACATGTACCAGCATGGACTATAATTAATCTTGGACCTGTCCCCGATGGTACCCGAACACCGCCGACTGCTCCCTCCTCATCAGTTTGCCAACATATTGATACCGTGTGATGGGCGTGTACCCATGTTTCGTCGATGTACACGATTGGACGGTAATCTTAACGGTACTGGCGAATCATTCTGAGATATCTCAAACGCCATGCAATAATGTCTTTTCGCTCCATTAGGACCTGTCTGTCTGAACGAGTTTTCCGCCATTTGAAACCAATTTTTCTTAAACATTTACGCATTGTTTCTTTACTCCCTGTATATCCCAAATCATCAGTAGCCATTTTCATAATGCTTGTCAGTGTTGGCATTGTCTTGGTTACTGTGTAGCAGTGTTGAAAGTACTGGCGAATTGCGCATTTATCAAAATCATCAAATTCAATGTTCCCTTCGGTACGAGTACGCACATTCCCTGGGCTTGTGAACTTACTGGTACCCATCGCGGGAACGCATTACCTTCGTCATTTATTTAGCATCGCTGGCTTTTTTGAGTGCACTGTGTGTGCTGTCGGAAATAGTACACATGTACTGAATGACATTGTAGGCAACCTCACGTGTTTGTGAATGAATTACTTGACCCCGTTTACCCAATTTAGAGTGCGACATGATAAGCTTCAAATACCTGCAGAGTTTAATACTCTTTTAACAGACCACTTTACAAGATACTAGTATACAAATACTCGAGCAGAAACACGACGCTTCCGAATCATTGCGTAGAAAGTGATTACTGCAAGGATCACAAAAATCACGTGCGCGAAGTTTTCACACCTGTTCCCCCTTCGAGTGGGTAGTGGATCAGTTCACGGCACGCTCCCCCCTCTCCTTTCACAAAGGCGTCTTTCGCGCACATCTAATGTTGGTTGGACAGTAGTGGCATTTCAATTTCACACAAGCAACTCACACACCTGGCTGTTCTACCAGCAAGTGGCCCCCCTCGTAAACAATAGCGAAAAGTGACATTGTCACTGACAACAGAATAATGATCGTTTGTTTAGCAACTTTGTTATTCGGGTGTCCAAAAGTATGAGACAAATCATCAGAGTTGGTCTGTCGATTTCATGTGACTGTGCAAAATCTGGGTTTGTTGCAATTATTAGATGTTGTGTTAGTGAGCAATTCATCGGTCTCAAATGAAATAAAACTGACTGTAATTATTTAGCCGCTATCTTGCCTTCAATGTGAAATCAAATCCATTTTCAATAATTAAGAGCGATTAATCTGACATTTCGCATTTCGTTTCTGCACTGCTTTGAATGTCACGGGTCGGATTGTAAAGGACATGAATAATACTTTCATGAATGAAGACATAGCTGTCGGTAGACGAGGTATTTCATTAAAGCGTTCTGTTACATCTTCTGTTTAGTCACGAAGGAAGACATCTTTGGTACAGAAGAGTGAGTGAGTGGGTTTTACGCCGCACTCAGCAATATTCCAATCCAGTGATCAACATCATGAGCATCGATCTACGCAACTGGAATACGATAACATGTGTCAACCAATTCAGCGAGCCTGACCACCCGGTTGTACCCCATAACCCCTACATGCCATTACCCCTACACCCAAGTACCCCTACAATTAGTTAAAACAACACACGGCATTTACCTGTCTGGCATAATGGACTGACCCAAGAAGAGATTAGTGCATAGAGTATACAGATCAGATCAAGGGAGGGATTAGTGCACAGAGTATACCGATGAGATCAAGGGAGGGATTAAGCTGTTGTTTAGTGTTTTGTGTCAAGGAAATTTGGGATCAGCTAAAAGTTGATTAGTTTCATGATGAAAGATAAACCTCTAGTGAGTAGAACAATTTTACAAATTGGATAGTGTTTTGTGTCAAGGAAATTTGGCATCAGCTAAAAGTTGATTAGTTTCATGATGAAAGATAAACCTGTAGTGAGTAGAACAATTTGTGTAGGTTGTTAAATGTTGAAATTAAGTTGTTTTAGTGCCAGGATGAAAGATGCACAGTAATATTGAAACCTAGTCTTAGGACCCCTAATGTTCATAATGTATATTAATGATATTGTAGATGATATTGCTAGTAATATTAGACGACACGTCTCTATACGTTATAATTGATGATCCTGACATAGCTGCAGACTGTTTAAATAATGAATACTGGGATATTCACATAAACTCTATGAAACGAAAGTTAGCCCACTGATTAATGCTCAAGAAGTTTGAAATATCGATTATCGCGTAAAAGTTTAGAAATTATCTACAAATCTTTCATCTTACCGACGACATATGCCAGATCATTTCTACCTGATACAATAAAACTGTGGAAATCCCTGAGTTCGGAAATTCAAAATATTGATACTTTATCCTGATTCAAAAACTCGATATTAAGACAATATAACAAAACTATTATTTTTGATCTAAACTGATTTGATTTGAATGCTGATAGGTTTGATAGACATCATCGACAGCCCCTCGTGCTCATGTGGACATCCAGTCGAAAATGCTGTGCATTATTTCTTTACATGCAATAAATACACGGAATTAAGACAAAAATCATATTTCTATTTAAAGGGGTACACTGTACTATGGGTATCAACGATGTACTATGGGTATCAACACTGTACTATGGGTATCAACACTGTACTATGGGTATCAACACTGTACTATGGGTATCAACACTGTACTATGGGTATCAACACTGTAGTATGGGTATCAACACTGTACTATGGGTATCAACACTGTACTATGGGTATCAACACTGTACTATGGGTATCAACACTGTACTATAGGTATCAACACTGTACTATGGGTATCAACACTGTACTATGTACACTGAATGTTAACAATTAATTGTTATTGTTCATCAATTAATCATGATGACAACTTATTGTTAATCCTTATTAAAATCTTGATGATGACAAATGATGATATCAACCTTCATTAAAATCATTCTCTCAGTCTTATAGCTGTGTGTTGTTATGTCTCTTAAGTGGATTGGTCCATTGTATGGAATAGGTAACAGGCAGGGGATTAACAGTGCAACAGACCGTAAACTATGTTGTTTTAAGCTGTAGGGGTAGTGGCATGTAGGGGTAATGGGGGTTACCGACCACCCGGTCCCGTTAATCACCTCTTACGACAAGTATGCTGAGACCAATTCTAAACCGGATCTTCACGGGTAGTGAGTGAGTGGGTGAGTCGGTGGTTTCGGTGATAAATATGCATAAATATTGTCAAAAAACGCCAAGCGCTTCGACGTAAAATTATCAACCCAAATCATTGCCACTGAGCATATTTCTGAAACAGTCGAGTGAGTGAGTGAGTATGGTGTTTCGCCTCTTTTAGCAATATTCCAGCAATATCATGGCGGGGGACACCAGAAATGGACCTCACAATTTGTACCCATGTTGGGAATCGAACCGAAACAGTCAAGGGCTGTAAATTCACCTCACCGTGGAAACGTATATTTACGTTTGCCTATTCCGTATATTGTGTTTCATAATGGCCAGTTATCTGTGCCCTTTAAAACACTCTGACAATCAGGGTGGTACATAAGTTTCGAACAATAAAATGAAATTTGTGAAACAGCATAATTCTTATTAAATTCGGGTGTGTATATAAATTATGCTAAGATACCAGTTTAATATCATAAAGTCCTCAAAAAGAGAAACTTTAATGAGCTTAACTCATAAAGGGACGAGATAAATAAAGTGAGAGAGTGAGTTGGGTTTATGGCAGGGTCTGTAAGATAAATAAAGGTCAGACGGGCTTTCTTTAATCAAATGGTAGGTGTCCTCCCATTTGTGAGAACTCCCAGTTGTGAGACACATTAATTAATGGTTCAGTGCACATAGGTGGTGTTTCCACATCCCCCACAATGAAAGTGGGATCAGCCCAGTTGTTGACGAGTACCCACAGGAGTCATTGATGAGTAGATTAATGAAATAGATTATCAAAGATTTTATTTACAAAGAAGAAACATTTCATTAAATATTTTTTTTATTCAGAATAATATGTAATTATAATAACACCTTTTTATTGACTATTATGAAGTTTGAAAGTCATTTTGGTTTAAAACATATTTTATTATCATTATCAAAGTGTTTAATTTTTAAGGACATTTACTGGAGTATGTTAATCAATTTATCTTATTAAGTTTCATTAAGTTACCTCCAAAACATGCAGTTACATAGCAAATCAGTAATTCGCTAGGGTTAATCCATTCTATCAGGCAGGGGAGTATGGTGTGTTTTCTTTGTTAATTACCAACTCCACTGTCTCATAACTGGGAGTCTCACAAATGGGAGTAGACCAAATGGTATGCATTAATGTCGACATTTGGTCACTTTTTTGTCTTATAAATTAATGATTAAATTAAGATTTATTATTATTCAGAAATAAATGTTTTGAAACACAATAAAAATGATATATATGACTATTTACAATATATTAGTCGATGATTGGGGAATGAATAAATGATTGGCATAATTATGAAATTTTTGGATGAATAAGCTAGAAACAGGTGCTGCAATATCTTGAATTGTTTAAAATCGTATTCTTGTTTTGAGAATATATATCGCTAATATCACCTGCATATCGATATTTTTATCTCGTACATTTCAACTGAATGCACCACGCGTCTCGACCAGCACGGCCACCTTCCTTTCCTTGCCGCTCACGCCATTGAGGTAAACCTACAAATTTTCTCTTGAACTTTCTAAAGCAATGCAAAAACCACGTGCTCGTGGTGGAAAATCCCAACAGAGGGCGCCTTTTCTGTCTCGGCCAATCAAAACAGCAGAAAACTTCAGCGCCCTCGCGTCGCGATCACTCTCTTCCGCCATTTTGAAGACAATGGATCAATCTGGTGGTCCAGGTGGATTTGATGCACAATCGGCTTTCGCGGACGCAGTAGCAAGAGCAAGACAGGTAATAATGATCATTAATCATTGAAATGCAAAGGTGCTGAGTTGTAGATCATAATGATATGTATTTTGATTGTTTCGGATAACTAATTATGCTTGTTCCTCGACCGTGGCTTCTCGGCGATCTGAAGACATGCTTCCGCGTGCCGACATTTTCAATTAGCAAAAGGCTAGGATGTGCACGTGGTTTTGAAACATTCACCAAGATCTCTGATGGATGATTAATAAATTTGCAACGGTATCTACCTGAGTGTGTGTTATTCTTCTGCGGTGTCTTTGGTTATATGTTCTAGTGCATATTAATATCCAAGTAAATTAGGTTATGAAAAGTACGGAACACGCTTAGCCTCAGTTCCTTGCACGCCCTCGAGGGTCATCGTGCCAAAGCGTATCCGGTCTGTAAATTTCGCGTTTATAACCCAATATTCAAACCATCAAAATTCCCCAACTCGTGACTGGACTCGCAATCATTACCTACTTGTAGCTGGTATAGTTTTAATCAATTAAACCAATTCGATACGCAGTAACCCAGGCTCCACGTGTGCACGATATCTTGCCTACAACATTTGTTCCGTGTTTAATAAGGAAGTAGATGGACTTTCTGTTCACTGCACCTTACAGATTGCAGCATATTCACAAATAATTTGGCGTTTTAATAACGCAGGTTTTGGTATTTTTTTGTTTTCCGTTTTCAAGGACGTGCGCCTCATGGTTAAAACATTATTGCTGGTAGTTCCACCTTTTGTGTTTTGCTTGGCGTTCTACGATGGTTATTACTTTTTTGTGTTGTGTGGTTTTCCTGGTGAAAGTAATGAGTTTGATAACATAGACAAAGGACTTGCAGGGCTCCTTACAAAATGGGACAAAATGGCATTTTTAAAACAAAGTCTTAGACAAGTGCGTAGCAAGCCAATTATTCGTCTAAGCCCGATAGGTTGCACAGCTTTATGTGTAGGTAGTATTGAGGGCTTGCTCTACCTTTTTAGCAACAATCATGTGTAACCCCAGGCTTTTTTCTATAACAGTAGCTACGTCCCTGTTAGAGCTTATTTTGAGATACTTGACCAAGGATGGTATTGATGTCCATGTCAGTATGACCCACACACACACACGTTATAAAGATTAAAGCCATTATATTTTAGGAAACATGTGTCGTCTCCCCCCCCCCCCCCTTTAAAAAAGAAAGATTAAGATTTTAACAACCATTTAAAGCATGTCTGATTGGTGAAGAAACAGAAATTCAGAAGCTGTATTAAAACAGCATTGAAACAATAAGAATAATTGAAAGCATGTCGATCTCAGCCACCTCAAACCCTTTTCCCCACCCCCCAAATGTTTTGAACATTTGGTTTATTAGAAAGATTTGTCAACGCTACTGTTTCACTGGTGTTGATGCACTTTGTGAAGTGTGTTGGGTCCTTTCAAACTCTTGTGAACTAGTTTGACTTTTATTTGGGTGATGGTTTAAAGACATTTGGCAAGATTGTTGTAAACACTTGTTGCATACAGTACACATTTTTCACAGGTTCAACGATTATACCAGACTTGAACTGATGCAGATTTATGACCACTTCATCGTTAATTGGAATTAGTTTCCAACCAATTGAGTTACGACAGAATCTATGATCAATATTTGTGTGCTGACAAGAATGCTGACTTTTCACGGTAGATTTTTGAGTGTTGTATATGGCAGGAATTTACCTTGAGTCCTGTATTTGAGGGTCCCTAGGACTCCCTCATAATTTTAAGGGGTCCTGGACTACAAATTGGGGTCCCAGACACTTATATATTATTATTTATACTGTGTTGTAATATTGTTGCAATTCAGTTACTGTTATTGTTTTATGTACCATGATCATCACATTGTTACAGTAATTAAATTGCAAATGATACCATAACCCGTCTAGTAGAGGACTGAGTGATAACTCATGGTTACTTGATTGGAATTTTTACAGAAAGTGTTTGGATTTTATCTGCGTCCCTATGGACGCGCTATTAAATGTAGTTCTGTCCATTGTAAATTTTTATGAGTATAGGACGAAGGAATTCGCGCCCTTTAAATCCCGGCATAGTCATTAAATATTATAACTTATGTTGAAAGATGCCGAAAAATAATGGTCAAACTAACAAAGTTCAGATTTTTCTGTTCTCACTCATTTGTAAAGTTGGTGCCTATGTGTATCAATGAAAATATCAGCTTGTAAATCATTATTACTACTAACTACATATCATACACCATTTGAAAGGTCTAATCCTACTGTTTATAAATATGAAAGTTATTTTTTATCATATTATTCAAGTAATACGACTACAGCTTAAATAAGTTAATGAATATGCAAGCTTACACATTTATATATCCAGATAAACCACGAAGGAAGCAAAAAATGAGACGATTTTTTTCCATTTGTAACATGTCATAATACCCCTTTACCTTTTTCTTTTATATTTTCATTTTTACGTAATCGGAACATTATTATAAAAAGATTTCTGAATTAGTATTTATGGTCGTCTATTTCCCAATATCTGTGGCTTTCCACTCGGTAACGTGATACAACAGCGTGAAATACCTGTTTTGAGGCTTCGTATGAATAACATGGGAGGCGATTCGTTTGATGGCGGGTATTGTTCGAAGGCTCTGATAATCAACATCACTGTACCCTTGCCAAGAGTATTTTCACAGTTGTAAGAAGCGATTTATTGGATAAAGATTGGTTTCTAATGACGCTTATTTGCCCCAGTTTGCAATAAGGATCATGATTGGACAAAATCAGACGCGTGACCTAAGGCAGCCAATCAAATAACAGCAATGGATACGCGACGTAAACGAAAACCTGCAGGTTCAGACGAAAGTTTTGGGTAAAATCATGCTATTCTGAACGTGTTGCGCAAAAAATCGCCACCTATGCGTATATTGTTGAACTTAGTGGACGTATCGTGCTAGGTTATGACCTGTGACAAGAAAGTATTTTAGCATTTAACATCACGTTCGAGCGTAAAGTTCGAAGCGACGAAAGCCAAGATGTCCTTTGAATTACATTACAGGGGCCCACAATAAAGATGGAAATAGTAAGTTGTAACATACATTTGACAACTTGTATGGGCACTGTTGTTGATTTTATTCTTCCGTTTATTCAATTTGTGTAATTATTATCACGAAACATCGTTACTTTGCTCTTTGACAACTCTGATGTGGACCCGTTGCTGAAGCATATGTCCGAAAAATCTTCTTTTTTTTTCAATAACATTGAAAAAAATGGTTTATAATTCTAATTCTGTCGATTATATATGGCCATTTGAAATGTAATAAGTGTTTTCAGACATTATGAAAAGTGATAGATTTGATAAATGAATCATATGTTAGTTAGGTTCCTAAAATTATATATCATTTTGATGCATTTACTGCCTGGCCTACGCTGTCTGGGGACTGGCGACGTCTTGGCCGGTTTTCTGGCCTACGGTGTTCTGGCCTACAGTGTTGAATCGGTTAAGTAAGGCTGTTACAATTCACTCACATATTCGGTGAATCCAACTGTAGCCCTTCATGAATTCAATTCGTTATTCATGGTCATTTACGAATATTTTAAGGGAGTGTGTTTAACTTGAACCATTATGTCCTTTTTCAAAGTGAGATATGCAAAAATGGAATATGTACTATCGTTGTAGTAGCACGCGTTATGTTAGTTTGCCAAGGTCGCACATGGTACTGTTGACTATTAGTATTACATACCAAATTTGAGTGTCATGAGATCACTGGTTATTGCTGTGACAAATTAACACTATCAACATGGGCATTTCACTTTGTGCATCGATCACGTTACAATATTGTATTCATGAATAGTTATTTGTATTTGTTAGCCAATATTCATGATATGTATCCTATTTGCCAAATAGTGTATTCGTTGCAGCCCCAATATTAACTCCTTCAAAACCAGTCAACCAGAGGCATTTACTGCCATGACACCGAGCTCCCAGAGACTCTAAGGTCACAGATGAAACCTATGTTTATGAAGGAAATTATAAGATAGTAAAACGTTATTGCTACTACATCTCATACACCATTTTAAAGGTCTAATCCCACTGTTGATAAATATGAAGTTTATTTTTATGTTATTCACATAATACAACTACAACTTAAATAGATTTATTTTTGTAATGAAAATGCAAGCTTACTTTTATAATGTCCAGATAAACCACGAAAGAAGCAAAAACTAAGGCAATTTTTTCAATTTGTGACATGCCATAACATGCCCGTGCCTTTTTCTTTTATATTTTCATTTTTACGTAATCAGAAAATTATTATAAAAAGATTTCTTAAATAATATTTATGGTTGCCTATTTCCCAATATCAGTGGCTTTCCGCTCGATGACATGACAAAATGGAAAATACCTTCGTTTTCGAAGCTTCGTATGAATAACATGGGAGGCGAATCGTTTGTCGGGTATCATTCAAAAGCTCTGAACATCAACAACATCACTGTATCCTTGCTGAGAGTATTTTCACAGTTGTAAGAAGCGATTTTGTTGGATAAAGATTGGTTTCTAATGACACATCGAAAACTTTTAGATTTAGACAAAAGTTTTGGGTAAAATAATGCTATTTTGAACATATTAAGCAAGAAATCGCTACCTATACGTAAATAATAGAACTTATTTGACGTATCGTGCTAGGTTATGACCTGTGACAAAAATGCTTCATGCTTACATTTTCGCATAAAAAATTGTGTCCGAGCTTGAAGATTGAGACGGCTAGCCGAGATGTCACTTCTCAGTGACTTGACTTGCATTACATGATCGCACAAAAAGCTGGAAATTGTAATTTTATATGTACGTTTGACATCTTTTATGAATGCTTTTTACAGACATTATGACAAGAGATAGATTTGATAAAAGAATCATATGTTAGTTTAGATTCCTAAAATTATATATAATTTTGATGCAACTACTGCCTGGCCGGTTTACTGGGTACTCGTGACGTCTTGGCCGGTTTTCTGGCCTACGGTGTTGAATGGGTTAAGTAACAAATGGGTTGTTTATATATAACCAGTTGTCAATCTTAAACCAATCACATTATTATTGTCAGTAATGATCCATGTCTATTGCAGATAGCAGCTAAAATCAACCAGCCCGGAGGGGGCGATGCAGGACAGCAGGGTGTGAAGAGGCCATTTGAAGAGGGATCAACTGGGCTTGGTTAGTTTCTACCTATTTGATATTAGTTTAAGTAATGCACAGGGTTTCATCAAGGTCTTCCAAGTTGTAGGTCTCTTTCCATTTTGGCACAAGATAATATAGATTGAACGTTCTTTTGAAAATGCAAAGAATTCCTTGAGGGAGGGATTTTGTACTTCAGTTTGCAAGATTCGAGATTCCTCTACTCGAAGTATTTTTTAGATTTGTGGCAACCCTACTTGCAGATGGTTCTTAAAATAGTATAAGCTCTCTGAACTAGATGAAATCCTGTATAAGTTTTAGATGTTTAAATGTGTTTTCTTACTCAGACTTTGTGGTTAGTAATTTTGTGCTGTGCAGTAATTGAGAACTAAACCCCTCTTAACACTGAAGTTATCAGCTAGTTTGCAGCCTTTCTTTGAAATCTAGCTATAAAAGTCTAACACAACTTTGTTAGTAAGAAATAATTATTGTACAAAGGGAATTCTATTGATCTCAAGAAACTGAAAAATGAAAGGTTTGTGACCACAAAAGTGAATATGTTTCAAGCAGGTTTTAGGGAATTTTACCTGAAATGAAGCCATTATCTATTGGAGTATCAGTCGATCATTCCCTTTTTTTACATGCCGCTGCCCAAATGCATCAGTCTGAAGTTGCATAAAACATTAAGACAAAATTGTCGATCTTGATCAGTTTATATCTGCTTGTCAGTTGATCCTTTCTGCCTTCAGCATAAATACAAGATTCTTTTACCCCAGCAGCCCTTATCAGTATATTCTGACCACCTTTCAATAAAATGTTATGTTAGATGTTCCATTAAACCTTTCAAGTATGGTATTTCATTTGTTAGCTTGTGAAAACCCTTTCAGAATTTGAGCTTAAGTATTGATCTTGACTTTTCAAAAAATGTTTGTTCCCAGAAAGCACAAAACAGTTAACATCTAAGTTGAGTATTGTATCCCATTGTTGCACCTAATATCTTATATACTATTTCGACACTGTTCACACATTATTTTTCATGTTTAGGGTTTTAGAAACTACATTTTACAACCTGACTTCAGTGTATCCATGTAATATGAATCACTTTGTATTGGGATCTGTGTGTTGACAGCTGTTGGTATCTGTTTGTACTGTGACTGCCCAGATCATTGCATGTGTAATACTGTTGTAGAGTGGTGGATGGTACATAGTTCTTAATAACAATACCCACCTGCATGTTGGCATTTTGGGATCACTGTCAGGTCATCTTAGTGTTTGAGAATCTGTTCAGACAGCCCACAGGGCATACTTGAACATAACAGAAGTGACTTTGGAATGTTCTCTGGGATACAAGTACGGGCAAATATCCAGTTGAAGCCTGCAACATTATTGGGGTTCCTTGAGACACCTGATTACTTGTGTAGCAGGGCGTGGAGTCATCTCACAGATGACATCCTTACCTTGTCAGCTTGCTGACAGGGTTAACCTCTTTGGTCATGTGGACAAGGCGTCCGACTTCTGATCAGAAGGTCCATGGTTCGAATCCCAGCACGGGACTCGGAAATTTTATGGTCGCTACACTTGTTTCTAAACAGTTGTGTAATTATCTATGTATTAGTGTTGGGACTAGGTTAAAATCTCATAATTGATGATTGATTCATAACAACCGATCAATCATCAAAGATAATTGGTTAGTGTCATTTATCAAATTTTCATGGTTGTTTGTTAATGCACAAAGAATAAAGAAAACCATAGTTCTTTCTGGGTGTTTTTTCAAATTGCACAAAATGTATTTGCAATTTTCACTTCTTCAAAGGATGACTAGTATGTTAAGAACATAAATTTCCTAGAGTCTTGAAGATAACTTCAGTCATGACTTCTAACAAGATTGCAGTGCTTATGAAATGTAACAGACAAAACCAACCTTGTGAAAAATATTCTTAATGCAAGCCGCTTAGCGTTCCCAAATTGTTTGTGTTCGATTATGAGAAAACATGATCGACTGCTTGGTTGTTTAGTCACTGCGACCAATCTTCGATTATTTCAATTAATTGGACCACCTATGTATGGCACTGAAATCTACCAAAGGTGATTCATAAGCCAATTCAAACGCAAGTGGTTTTGTACTGATTGGTGCAGTGCATTGTATTGTCCATTCAGTGTACAATTTGACTCCTTGCTAATAACATTGCAGAAATGGTACCCTTTATGACTATATGGAGAAGCATATTAATGACTAAATTATGGATGATAGAGATTGCAAGATACTATTGCTTGACGATTTTCAAACAGATCCATCTGCAAGACATGCTATGAATTTGTTGACAGAGGATATTTGAACAGATGTCATTCTTTCCTGACACTTGCTTAATTCATTACATGCACATAAGAGCTGTTGAGAACAAGTGAGCTGCAGATTCCCTAGCTCCTGTTTGTACTTGAAGTTGTTGTTCTTGTGCAGATTTTGAAAATTATCGCAGGATTCAATAGTTTAGTATTGCCATGCTTGATGGTGTTTGGTGGCCATTTAACATTACTTCTCTTTTCAGCTTTTTGAAACTGAATTAAATTCTTTTGTCTTGCATTCTAATTCATTGTATTGAGTTCAAACTTTAGTTCATCCAGTAAGCCCAAGTCCTGGTTGATACAGGTTAGGTTTACTGGATGTCATGTAGTTCTGACCAGCCTTTTAACTCAACACTGTACGTAGACATGACATTTACTAGTAGTTCCTAGGGGTTGTCTGTTTCCGACTCCGTTGTAACCATTCTGCATAGTCTCAAAATCTCCTTCAACAACAACTCCAAAGAACATCTCATCTGCTTCTAGTATTTAGACACACCTTTGAATCTTCACTTTTATCCATGTTTAACACCACAGCAGCTGTCATTATCTGTGATTAATCCCAACATCTCTGCCATTCTTCTATCCACATTCTGACACAGCCTGTACATTGGCACCTAGACAAACCCAAGGATAGCCCCTAACAGGATGTTTTTTTGTTTTTCTCGTTTCAGGTGAACCAGAAGCAAAGAAAACCCCAGCTGCAATTGTAGATCGTGAGTTGTTTGACTTGTGGTAATGTTGAGGTATAAGGGATCAACGGTTTGACTTAGTTGAACTACAGTGTTGGGTTAGGCCTGGTCAGAAATGCAATGTTCTGGACACTCAATAATGCTTTTCTTCCCTCAGACTACTGGACACAACACAGTAAGTATGGTCTTGCTTTCAGGGTGCCAGGCAGAAAGGTTTGGTAAGATGTAGGGTACAGATAGGTGTGTGATTTATTGTTGATACTATGTTTATGAAAGTGTTGTTTCTTTACTAGCTATAGGAGCACAGCTGAGAGCGATAGCAGATCAACAAAGAGTAGCTGATCAGCAAAGGTAGGACACATTTCAATCCTTCAGTCCCAGAAAAATAATTCATATCAGCATGTTCAGTTTACCAGAAATATCAGTCAGGTATTAAGTACCTGTTTCATGTTACCCGACTTGAATCATTGTTTGACTTTCCGTTCAGATCTTTTTGTTACTCCTTATAAAGTTTTCCCAGTAAATGGCCACTATTTTTACTTACATGATTGAGAAATAGTACAATTGTTGTTAGTATTGAACGTGTGTGAAATTCTTAACAAAATTACTGAAAAGGCCCTACCTACCACACCCCATATTGATTACCTGAAACACAACTTGTTTGTATTTGACCTTATAACATGCCAGTAATTCATATTTGTATAATGTGAGAAGATTGAGGTTAAATATTGCCAATATTTAGCACACCCCAGTCTGTGAAATAGGCTGGTTTCAAAACGGGTTTTTTCCTGCACATCATTCAAGAATATCCTTTTTGTCAGATTTTTCAAATTGAAGGTAGTACAAAAAAATTGTAATGGAAAGAACTTATTTAATTTGTTCTTTTTCTCCTGTTATGCTGATAGCACACTTACTTAATAACCCGCTGTTGATAATGTTCATCAATGTTTAGCAAAAGCAAGAATTTCCTTCAGAAACATAAAAAGCTCTGTATGGAATATTTAGACTAGCAATCTAATATGAACTTCACTTTGGTTCATTTCACCTGCAGATGTAAAACCTTTGTATATAGACTATTGAATGGGGGAAGTGATGTTAATCAAAACTTGTTACTGATTCACCATGTTGCCACTATTTTGACACGTCGGATCTATACTGACCTGCATCCAATATAATTCTCTGAATGGAAATAAAAGCATGCCATATTTTGTTATCGATCGAATTGCTACTTTGCGCTAGTAGAAACAACCTGTATTTTCCAGAGTAGGAAGAGATTCTGATGCCATAGGATGTAATAATTCGGGGTTTTCATTAAAAATTTTTTCAAAATTTAAAACCTGCATTTCAATCAACTCAAATGTAAATTATATTTATTCAAATACAGGTCATACTCTATTAAGTGTCTTGGGTGTTACAGACCTGTTTGATAATTGACTATTTAATCAAAACTGTATGGCATTGTCCACACTCAGAGCCAGTCAGGCTGCACAGGCTGCACAAGAAGCAGCAGCGAGAATCAATCAGCAGCTAGGAGTAGCATCATCTGGTCCCCCGTCGAGCATCCCCAAACCACACCTCGAGATGGTCAGCACAGAAGAATACGCAGTTCCTGACAAGATGGTCGGATTAAGTGAGTAATTAATCATTTCAATTTACTTTCACTATTATGCAGTGCAATCTAATTAAAATCAAATCCTATCAGATCAAACCACTACTTGTACTCTACAAACTGGGCATGTGGCTGGACCAGTCAGTCTCACTGAGATTTTTATGGCGAGTCCCAATGTGCTTTCCAAATCTTGTAACCTCTAAAAGGTTACAGCAGGATATTCCAAACCAGCCCCATTGGTTACGACTGTCTTAATGCTGTCTCATTTCAGTGTTCATATCAGATGCATTTTAAACAGAAGACATCATAGCACTGTTGGATTTCTTGCCATGTAATCTCTGCTGTGTTATTTATCATCATTACCAAATTTTGTTCAGTTATCAGTGAATAGCTTGAGAAAAATACTTCATCATTGGTAAATTTGGATTACTTGTTCAGCGGTTGAAATGGTGCTTAATTTGAAAATTGAAATGGCACAGATAAAATATTTTCCATCTTTCCCAGCAGCACACGACAAAGTATAAAAATAATACTCTGATTCAGTTTATAGAAAATGCAATAACTTTGACCAACTCAATAGATTCAAAATCTATTTCAAAATCCCTATCAAAACTTTTTATGGGTGACACTCTTACCTCGCAGCTTAACATGTGACATTTAACATTTTGAATGCCAGTGCGCATAACAGGAAATTCCGCTTTGAATGACAACATAGTTTTGTGGGTAGGTTTATGGGACCATTCCAAATGAAGTTGAACATGGAAATCCGGGTCAGTTTTGCAGGTTTACTGATTATTAAACAATAGACTAAAATGACATTGTTGTGGATCATCAAAAGGAATGGGCACACTTATTTTTATAAAAGCACACCTTAATTTTATCAATCTTGTGCATTATGACACCCTTCGAAAGAAATAGCATTTCTATCCCTGTTAATTTGTGATCTGTAAAAGTTCATGAACGGTCGTTCTGGCATTACATGCAATGACAGGTCTTCCCAAATTTGTGTGGCAGTACTGATCGAGAAGTTCAGGCTTTCAGATTAAACAGTCCACAGTTAGACATATTCATTTTGTTCATTGGTTGAAAATTTTCTATGAAATTTTAGTTATGATTACACAATGAACTTCAGGGCTCCAGATAAGGGCCGTATCGGTGTATGTACGGATAAAAAATATGGATGATACGGTAGGAAATAATTTAGAAAACGTAGCAGATACGCACCACAGCAATGGTGTACGGTCTTAGAATCATTTACAGGCGTATTTATCTGAAAAAAGTATTGTTTTATTGTTTATTGACCTGTTTTCACAAGAGTAGCAATATTGGGGTGCATATATGAAACAAAACACAAGATTACTGATAGTCCATTAATTTTCATTCAGTACTCTTACGGTTTTCCAGTACTCCTATATTGAACAAACAAGGAGTACATACTCCTGATGTTGAAAAAATATCTGGAGCCCTGAACTTATAGTTGTCTTGTGGGCAACTAAGTAGCAGTCATGTTGTAATGTCATGGTTGGTAATTAATATTCTTTCAAGAGTTCACCTGAAGTTGCATTTTAAATCAGGATCCTTGTAAAATTAAGTTTTGTATTTCATTCTTTAAACAGGTTTAAGTCCTGTTGGAAATGTCTATTTTGCAATCAAATTGAAAGTTGAATGTTTCAATTTCAGTTATTGGTAAAGGTGGTGAGCAAATCACACGGTTGCAAGCAGAGACAGGCTGCAAAGTACAGATTGCCCCAGGTTGGTCCTGATAGCAGTGGACACGTGTACATTAATGTTTCTGTTCTTCGTACTCGATAGGCATGATCTTTGGTAAATGTGAAGGAACATTGATAGCAGGTTTTTTAAAGTGATAGTTCATCACAATGTTGTGACATGTGAGTGTTTGGTAATGAGGTTTTGTTTAAGAAATGTACTGGAATTTTGTGAGAACAGACTTTAATGTGTAATAAATAACTTTACCATATATTTTGTGTCTAAAATTGGCTTTCTCTTTACAAGTTGAATCCATATCATGCTTAACAAAACTTATTGTTCCAAGAAAGTGATAGTATTTTGTTACTCTGCCTCATGGTGGTGGTCAAGTTGGGGTTCTATTTGTGAAGAAATGGATTTCCTAAAATTTGACTGCCATCTTAAGGAATTTCTTATTAAACATGCTCAAGGATTTAAGTCTTTAGTCTGTCAGTTGAATTTGATGCATCAGATGATTCATACAATCTGTATTAATTGTGCAGATGATGCATGTATGCATTTTGCAGATAGTGGAGGTCTACCTGAACGAATGTGCACCCTCACAGGACCCCCTAGTGCTATACAGTAAGTAACCATGGCTTGTCCTTATTTGAACACACTGAAAAAAACACTACTTTATTTGAAAATATCAACAGACATCTTTGCACGTAGACACCCATGGGGAGATTGTGAAAAACACCAGCATCCCACTTTTTTGCAGAATGAGATGAAGAGCAGGTGGTTGCATCTTTCTCACTGTGCCCTGATATAATTATCATATAATCCCTGACATCCTTGGCTGGCTGCCGATACTTTTGGTTAAATTGCTTAGTTGTCAGTGTTTAATACTAGTTAGACACTTCTTGACACTGCCCCATGGTGATAGAGTTGACCTTTGCACCTATGCCAGAACTTAGCCAAGGCGTTATGTTACTCTTTGTAATATGTTGTTAAAGAGCAACATCAATGTCAAGCTTGACAAATTTAACAATTAACGAGGTAATTTATTCCCAATTCATTATCCTTATCCTTAATCTAATTCTGTTCTCAAGAATCAGAATTGTCGTAATTCTTTCGGAGCGCACATGATTTGATCATCCACTCATATACATAGGTGGTTTGTTACTGTATTTGATAATCATTGCCTATTATTATTGCAACATTATTCATCTTTCAGAGCCTGTAAGCAGGCAATCAATCTTATCATTGAAAGAGGAAAGAGCTCCCAGGGTCCAATGGATCCTAATCAATTGTATGATGGGCAAGCTGTGGTAGAGATGAGTATACCAGGCAACAAGGTCGGCCTCATCATTGGCAAGGGTGGGGAAACCATCAGGCAACTACAGGTAAGTGACTGCACAACAGGCTACATATTTGCTCATCATAGGCTGCATTCATGACGTTTAACCTATGGCAAATATATCTAGGGTTTGAACATAAAACAGGCACTGGTAGCCCAGGTCAAGACCAGTGAATATACAGGTTAGACTTGCTCTTCAGCAAACCATGGTTGTCGTAATAGACAACTAACGGGATTTGGTGCTTGGTTAACAAATGTCACTGTATCCCAATTGTGTACATTAATGGTGCTGCTGTTGATCACTGGATTGCCTAGTTCAGACTCGATTATTAACAGACCACTGAAATATTGGAGTGCGGCGTTAACATGCTTTCGAACACTAGGTCTCATCTATCTGTTAACATTTTTATGCTTTGTCTTTTTGTTCATTTCCAGAAAGAAAGTGTAAAACTTGACAAAGTATTTAAGATGAAATCCTCCATGGTGTATGGTTATTTTGGGGGTTTATGTCACCAAATTCTTTTCCTCTTGCATTTCAGGAGCGTGCTGGTGTAAAGATGGTGATGATTCAAGACAGCAACTCTCCTACAGCTTGTGACAAACCTCTAAGTATTACAGGGGATCCCAACAAGTGTCAGGTGTGTTCACATTGTATCTGCCGTGGGTGGTGGTGGGTTTGCCTAATGGTTAAAGCGTTCAGTTCCCCATTTGGATACAATGTGTGAAGTCCATTTCTCGTGTCCCCGCACTGATATTGCTGGAATATTGCTAAAAGCGGCGTAAAACTAAACTCGCTCGACCATGGGTGCTTGGGTCAATGCCCCCATCTGCTTACATTCTGATACCCTTCACTATATCGATATCATAATTGTCATGGGTTTTCCGGAGATGATTAGTAAAATACTTTAATATTTAGGAATTTATTCTAGCCTCAAAGTAACTTAATCTGAAAGACCAAGATTGAAGATCACCTTTAAATTGTTGTATAAATTACATGTCCTGAAAAGTGTAATCAGCACAAATTTTCAGAGTAATGTTGTACATATACATGTTTTGTTTTCAGAGAGCCAAGGAAATGGTTATTGAACTATTGGCAGAAAAGGACATGGAGGTGGGTAGTAATGTGAGTTGGAAATAGGATCGACGCAACAAGAAGAAAACTATTTCATGAGTAAACCTCTTGAACTGAAGCAAGGAATAGATTTTTTGCAATGCAAAATTTGGCTGATAGGCTGAAAAAATGCATTTTGCAGGATGTTTGCTAGGTTTGATATGGATTTTTTTTAATCTTTATCAATCCTTGGTTAAGTAATCTTTATGGTTAACATTATTTAATAATAAACCTAGACCTGGATTTTTTAGTTTCATGAATCAATACAAATCACGATACCCATGTCACGATTCGATATGTATCATGCCTATTTTCGTGGCATTATTGCGTAAGTTTAGTTTCTTTTTGAACATTAATATTTCATATTGTATAATTGTCCATGAAAAATCATTTTGATTCTGAGAGATTAAGAAGTTCTAATTTCCCATTTTTGTGCATGAAAAGTAATTTATAACTCTTAACATGAAAAAAACATGATACAATTGCAGAATGTAAACGATACATAAACATTTATACCGATACTTTCAAAGCTAAATATTGATACAGTTTTGAATGTATCGATAATTGTCTTAGAAAAAGTATCGATGTATCGTGACATCCCTAGTATTTTTTCTTCACTTTCAATGTCTGTAATCCAAGCCAAAATGGAGATAAATACATGTCTTGCATACTTCACAGATGGGTGGAGGAGGCGGTGGCGGTGGTGGTGGAAGATTCAACGACTATGGAATGGGTGGCAGAGGAGGTGGAACTGAGGTAAATAACTGATGTTACAGAGTAGTTGTGTTTTTCACTATTTCGGAATATCAAGGAGTTTGACTAGTTAGGGTAAATTTGTTAGTTTCGTGGATAGGCAGTGTGTTCATGTTCATCAAACGTTATAAGTGGCCATTATTAAGAACTCTGACTGACAGTTCCCATTGGTTTAAAGGTTCTAATGTCTAATATCAATTTGATTTGCCATTTGGTCATTATCAGTGCATTGGTATGTATGAACTAAACTGATTTTCCATGAATATTGCAGACTATGGTGTAAAATAGAAGACAAATTGGTAACTTTATCCTTTTGAGTATCTATTTGTTGGTGTTAAAATCAATTATTCTCTTTCAGATACCTGTCCCCAGAGCAGCAGTTGGACTTGTTATTGGCAAGGGTGGAGAAATGATCAAAAAGATTCAAACAGAAACTGGTGCAAAAGTACAGTTCAAGCCAGGTAGTGTACTGTACAGAATTTGTAAATTGTTGCTATCTTAGAAGGCATCAAATGTTAAAAGCTGAGTGAAAATAAGAAATTACTACTTACCCACCGGTAAATGATAAAACCTTGATCAAATGTTGTAATACTTTCTTCACGTTTAGTTTTGTTTATGTTTAACTCTGCCTTTGTACTGTTACAGATGATGGACAGACACCAGACAGAATTTGTGCTATTACAGGCCCTCCTGACAAGGTGAACCAAGCTGTAGGAATGATCCATGAACTGTTGGATAATGCAAATGTAAGTGCTGATACTGCTAATTTTCATCATGAGAATTTTTAAATTGTTTCATAAAACAAAAGTGAGTTGGATAGCCTTGTGGTTAAAGCATTGTCTTGCCATGTCAACGACCTGGATTCAATTACCAACATAGGTACATTGTGTGAAGACCATTGCTGATGTACCCTGCCCTATTACTGATGTACCCTGCCCTATTTCTGATGTACCCTGCCCTATTACTGATGTACCCTGCCCTATTTCTGATGTACCCTGCCCTATTTCTGATGTACCCTGCCCTATTTCTGATGTACCCTGCCCTATTACTGATGTACCCTGCCCTATTACTGATGTACCCTGCCCTATTTCTTATGTACCTTGTCCTGATTCTACTAGCATAGTACTAAGCTCTTGAAACTCTAAAAATCCCTCTCTCAAATTTAAAACAAAATGGTATATGAAATCAAATCTTTACTGAAGCACATAATTAGAACTTTTGGCTCTTTTTATGGAGCCAGGAGTGTCGAATGTGTGCAATATAAAAAGGAAGGATTCGCTAACACCACTCGAGTTATTTGCTCAATGAGTGGGGTTTGATAGTAGACCTTCCGACATGTTAATGGTAAATGACAAGTCTTTCAGAGATATACCGATCTTAGGTAAAGTTGTTGCTTTAGGAATGATCCATGAACTGTTGGATAATGCAAATGTAAGTGCTGATACTGCTAATTTTCATCGTGAGAATTTTTAAATTGTTTCATCAAACAAAAGTGAGTTGGATAGCCTTGTGGTTAAAGCATTGTCTTGCCATGTCAACGACCTGGATTCAATTACCAACATAGGTACATTGTGTGAAGACCATTACTGATGTACCCTGCCCTATTACTGATGTACCCTGCCCTATTACTGATGTACCCTGCCCTATTACTGATGTACCCTGCTCTATTACTGATGTACCCTGCCCTATTTCTGATGTACCTTGTCCTGATTCTACTAGCATAGTGCTAAGCTCTTGAAACTCTAAAAATCCCTCTCTCAAATTTAAAACAAAATGATATATGTAATCAAATCTTTACTGAAGCACATAATTAGAACTTTTGGCTCTTTTTATGGAGCCAGGAGTGTCGAATGTGTGCAATATAAAAAGGAAGGATTCGCTAACACCACTCGAGTTATTTGCTCAATGAGTGGGGTTTGATAGTAGACCTTCCGACATGTTAATGGTAAATGACAAGTCTTTCAGAGATATACAGATCTTAGGTAAAGTTGTTGCTTTAACTTGAGGTGGATATGGTTCCTGAAAATAACTAACAATTTGTAAACATTGCTTATGTGTAAGGGAGACCATTCACATTTTCAAGTAGTTTCCTAATCCTCCCACCCAGGAATGCTTTAAATGCAGTCTGCATCTGAGTGAAGTTATGAACAATGAGTTGTGTTTTTCTTGTTTTCAGCAATTCGGTCCTGGCGGTATGGGTCGAGGTGGTGGTGGTGGCTTTGGAATGGGACGAGGCGGTCGTGGTGGGGGTCGAGGTGGAGGTGGCGGCAGAGGTGGCTTCCCCCCAGGGGGACCAGGCAGAGGGGGCATGGGCAGAGGGTTTGATGGAGGATTCCAAGATGGAACAACATACACAGTACCCTCGGACAAGTGCGGATTAGTTATTGGAAAAGGTGAGGGATGTTACTACCACCCTGTATAAACTTAAACAGTTTTCTCTCCTATCTACAATCTTATACATCTGTAATATATGATGTAATAAGTGACTGGAAGAAATTGCAGATACAGATGTCATGGTGCATGTAAGGAACATGCCCAGGGTGTATTCACCTGTAATGACTGGAGTGTCTTGAATTGTGCAATATTAAAGGAACACCTTGCTTGCACTGTTTGAGTTATCTGCTTAGTGATGATAAAGCTTCTTCCATCTGTTGATCATTAATTGTCAGGGGTTCCCCGCTTTAAAAATGATTGTTACTGAAATTGAAAAATGTTTGGAAGATTTGACTTCAGTTTGTCAGGACAAACAGTTGGAAGAAAAAATTACTCCTATTGTCTCGTATATTCTATTATATGAGTTATTTTCATATGACAACAAAGCATGTTCTATTTAAATGTTAACAAAACTATATTTGCTATCGGCAAGTTTGTTTAAAGAAAAACATTTGTGTTAATCGTTGTTTTATTTGAACAGGCGGAGAGACCATCAGAGAAATTAATCGTCAGTCTGGAGCACATGTTGAGTTGGACAGAAACCCACCTCCAAACCCAGGAGAGAAGATCTTTAACATCCGTGGAAATCCCCAACAAATACAACATGCTATTCAGATGATATGTGAGAAGGCAGGGTTACAGTCTGATGTGAGTAGCTGTTTATGTATTCATCTAGTGTGTATCGCGACCTCTATTTGGATGTCTTTTGTTCATTGCTGTAGCTGTATCACTTAGGTCTGATTGTGATGAAGTTGGTATCATTTAGTTATTAATTTGAGGTTTCTTATTTTTTAAATAAAAGTTGAACACCATGGTAGAATTAACTTTATCAAAGCAGGCGAAGTAGCACATTTTTATACCTTACAATTGTCCAAAGAATTCCTTTCTCTTTCATATACAACTAAAAATGTATTTGATAGCTTTGATAATATTGGCTGTGTTATAGCCAAATCGCATACTTTTCTAAGTCAACATGCTTTGCCCAGTATTTGATTTCCTTTGTCACTTAGTTGTTCAAGTTCTGTAATTTTATTTCAGGGTCCAGGTCCAGGTGGTCCTGGTGGTCCAATGGGTCCAGGTCCTGGTGGCCCAGGGCCTCAAGGTCCAGGTCCACAAGGCCCTCCAGGCCCAGGTCCTCAGGGACCAGGATATGACCAGTATGGTCAGTACGGACAGCCAGGGTAAGGATCACAACTCAATGCCCAACAATTTACGCACAATATGTAATTTTTGTCTTTGAGATATTTATTCTGGAAATTGTTCCTCTATTTAAACTAGTATTCAAAGGAGTACATATGCCTGATTTTGTTTTCATTTCCCTTCAGACAACCACCAGCAAATGCCTATGGTCAGGGATGGAATGCTTATGGACAAACACCCCCACAGAATGACAGTAAGTGGGTTTCTTGAACTGTGGATCATGATCAATTTGATGGCAATTTAATGACTGACATCCAAGACTCATCTTTCATGAAATTTATTGTGCTTCATCAGTTGCGAAATAGTTGACATTAAGTTATTGTAACACATATTTTAAGCTTTCAATTTGAAGTACCTTTATTATTAACTTTATTATTACCTTGATTAATATGGTTATTTGCGTTTTCTGATCAAGGTGACAAGCAGGCACAAGACGCAAATGCTGCTGCCTGGGCTGCTTATTATGCTCAGTATTACGCTCAGTATGGTCAGTATGGGCAGTACAGTCAGCAGCAACAGCAGGGCCAGCAGCCACAACAGCAACAGCAGCAGCCTCCGACTCAGCAGACACAACCCTCTCAACAGCCCCAGAATTTCCCACAACCTAGTGAGTGTAAGATACCTTTACATTATTATTCCTGTCGTCTTGTCTGCATGTACCATAACTCGGGGAAAGCATGTCACCGAAAATGTGAGATCTCTTAACTTAAGTGACCATTAAACGATAATTTAGCATGTTAATCCCATCGTAAAATTAATTGTATGCATGTATATTACAAATATATTCGAACAGAATCTATTAATGGTAAAGTAAGTGTAATTAGTGTAAATGTGTAAATGTATTTGGTATATTGTGGTCCTTTTGTACAGCAATCAACCCCCAGACCGGCCAGGCAGACTACAGCACTGCATGGGCCGAGTACTACAGACAGCAGGGTATGCACTACCAGGCCAACCTCATCATGCAGCAGGCAGCAGCAGCACAAGGAGGCCAGCAGCCTCCCCAACAGTAGTTGCTGCAACGCCCACTTGATGGCTACACATTCACTCCGCAAGAGGTAAAAAAACATGCTCCGCACAGAGCAACTAACGACTCATTCCCTTCCAGCTTGGACGACCACGATGCAGTGTACAAGGCTTGTATTACTACTTTCATCAAAACATGCCACGATTCCAAATTTTTGAAGAATTTTAATTACAGGAAAGATACATTTTCTTCAACTTGGTAACTAACTTCGGCATGAGTATGTTAGTATCTAATGCTTGCCTTTATATCTGAATTGACGTAAGTATGTCCCAGGGTAAGTAAGTGTAATTGTCAGGGGAAAATATATATCCAATATAGGTTGAAGTGTCCGTGGGCATAAATCTTAAATGTGAGGGCAAGTTTCAAACCAGGTCCAACCAATTGGAAGCGGACCTGGTCTCCCCTGGCCGTCTGAGAGCCTTGAGTCCACGCCACATGTAAGTACTCAGTGTAACAACAATAGGTAGGGCAGGTTTTCAATTACTGATGCATATGTGAATGTGGTTGCCTTTGTTTTTTTGTACAGGGGCTGTGGAGGTGTCTAGCGACGAGTTGCTGCTGTGCTGGTGTCCCATTGTCTCCTGTATGATCAACCTCCATAACTTTATTTGCTATGATGAAACATCGTCTTATTTCATACTTGCTTGCTATAGTAGACTTGCCCTTTGTCATTTCTTCATCTGCTTCATAAGTCGTAGTATCACACAACATTCCAACATTAAAATTATATAACAAACTAAGTCACAGCATTATCTACTGTTCTGGACCCTCCAAATACATGCGTGAAGGTTGGAAATGTTTATTTTTATGTGTAATCATGTTTGTTTGTAAATTACATGTTAAAACAGCTGATGGGATCTTCATTGTATAGGCTTAATTTGTGAATAACATTGTTGTCTCGCTTTTATATGCAGTCATTAGTATTATTTTATGCTGTTTTGACACTTTTAATCATGTACATAGTTTGGTTTGTGATCAGGAAGGGAAAATATGCCTGAAGTATTGTGTTCACATGAAGCAGACCTAGGTTACATGTCATGAATAAATGTTTATTGTATGCAAAATAAGCTTGTTCTCTTTGATGCATGAAAATAGTGAAATATATTCTTGTTCATTGACTCGAGAAACTGAGTTTCTTTTGACAGCATTGCACGGAAGGTAAGGTATGTTCAAATGTATATGGTTGACCGAATTGCTCGTCAAATTTGTATATAAATAGGTTACAGCCAAAGGTCGGAGAAATAAACTAACCTTAAAACCCAGCTTGGACCGAAACATCATATGTCTCGTTGCCTTGGCACTTGCTCATATTTTAAATATTGTATGTTTATTTTAAACTTGATGCTTTCACATATTGACATAATTTATGCATTTGAAGAGTATTGTATGAACTATTCACCAGTATTACCTTTGAATCCCAAGTCACAGTTAAATACAGTTCATGTTCTCTCTCAGCCAGTAATTGCCAAATATTTGAATTACATGTTGAATTACTGCCATACATTAATATGCAAACAGTTGTTGGAATTTCTTCCATGGTCAATATATATGGTCTATTATGATTTGTTTTAAATGATGATCTATTTGATACTTGTGTAGATATTTTCCTGCCATTCTCATAAAAATAGTCTTGATATGGTTCCGATGATTCCACTCGTTCTTGCGTTAGCTCGTTCATTTCATAATTTAGGATTTGTTTCATTTACCCGTGTTTCCGTTTTATTTTGTATTGATGATAAACAAGTGTAGGACTAGTAGTATGACCCATATATGACCGTGCTTGACATGTTTTCAATATCGTACCCAATGTCATGAATCCTTAAATACACTATTCCATACCTTTTATCAGGATTATTTTTTGCTCAATGATGAATAGTATAAAATGACTACCCTATTTTGATGTGTATAATGAAATGTTCATGAAAGTGCTTATTGATGATGTAGACTTCTTAGCTTTTCTAGGTGATGATTTATTTTGCTACTGACATAAATAACCATGTTTCTAAGCCGTCCAGTCATAGATGATAGTTTGTACATTTTGAAACTGCTTGTTTAATCAACAGATATTCTCATCAGATTATATATCGTTTTGAAATGACATGAAATTCATATACTTTGTTTGTCTTACTTTGGATGATATTGCGGGGGGAAAAATACCATTGAATGTGCATGACATTTTATAATGAATCCACCGATTGCTGTTTTATGATATTGACTGATTTGAAATTTGCTAAAGTAATTCAGGCTCCTATGTTGGTGAGAGGTGCTGATTGGTCGGTCGTTTGGTTGGCTGGTTTCGGCTGGCTGCCAGGCTTTCCCCAAATCTCGTCGAAAGACGACAGGCTCCACCAACCTACCCACACTCAGTCCTACTTGGCCAGAATTCGCTCGCGCTGGAGGGAAGATCACTCACCCGCACGTAAACTCCCACTCTCGCCAGGCCTGCCCGTTCTGTATAGGGTAATATTGATAATATTTCATGCCTAAGTGAATATTGACTTTCTTCATAAATGTTATCACCAATTGACTATTGCATATTTTTGATAAATGTTCCTGTTTAAATTTCTCATGTTCGCGTGCATTGTTTGACTTCCATAAATGTGTTTTTCGTTGCAAATAGTTTTTTTAACATGCATATATATACCGTGATCTTTAAAAATGATACTTATTGAGTAGATTACTATTTCGTTTGACCTCTTGTGCCAAGATATGCCTTTATTTAATTTGTTTGGATCATTCCATTTGAAATTTATAGCTGTGGAGACTGTTACATGTTGATCGACTTTCATTTTGATTGTTTTAGTTTTGAACCATATGTAGCTACAGACTGGTTTTAAGTAGTATTGAAGAAGTTTTGTTCAAAACTATTTTACATATCCGGATGTTTTTTTTATGCATTGATTTTATGAATGTTTAACCCCGTCTCAATTTCGTGACATTTTATGACCACGCGAGAAATACTCAAGCTGACTAGTTATTCTGTATATGTAGGTGGTTTGCTGATAATGATATGCAACGCAAGTTTCCAATTGAATATTTGACTTGAGATCTCAGGAAGGTACATGTATGGCAGTTGATACATATTTTCATCATTTCTATTCACTAATGTGATATTTTCCCCACATAATGTGATGAGATTTTTCAAATGCATTTTGTTGTCTTAAAACCAAAGTATTGAGCATATTTTTCTAGGTCATGTGTCAAATGAGAGCAAGCCAAGGGTTTCTGGAGCCATGGTCTATCGTTTGCCAGAAATTCTGTTACGGATAAGGGTTGAGAACTAGAGCTAGATGCGTGTAATCGGCATGGTGCACAATCACAACACAATTCACTGCAGTTAGATGTATTTTAATCAGCGTTCATCATGTTTGGATTTGACTTGTACTTTCCCAAAGTGCTTTTGTTTGTGGTATTATTATATTGGAACATACTGGTGCTGTTGGTTTAACTAAGCTTGTCTTGTTCGGAGCCTCCCCCCACCCTCCTGCGCCCTCAGCCTCCTCTGCCACAAGAGGGTGGGGACTGAGGAAATAGTGTTTGATCAACAGGGGCATACCTCAGTACCATTAAGGATATATTACGTTTTTGTGTGGATTGCATATATAATTGATATTCAACTTTGTTCCTTGCACGGTTTACTCAGATTAGTGTTTTTATCAAATTGCTTTGTACAGAAGTTTCATAAGGCCGTATGAAATTGAATCCTTGTTCATCCCCACAAACCTTGATGCATTCCACATGTTTTTTAACCTCATCTTTGATATCTGAAACAGTGCAATGGTCTATTGTTTGAATGTTTTGATATTTCAATGATAAATTGCTTGATGTCATGTCATGAACTTTAAAATGTAACATAACTTTTTTGACAAATTGAGGATGAACAAGGATTCTGCGCTGTCAACATGTTATGTACTACACATGAGTGCAGAATAAATGCTAAAAAGAGTCAATATGGTTTTGGTTTGATATTCGGCTAACTCTCAGGACACATAACTGCTCTCATTTGAAAAAATTCTTGCTTTTGAGTTACATGGAAGAAAATAACACCTGTTTAAAATGTGTAGTAATGCCAATGGCTGTATGGTTGAACAATTGAAATTACAAAATAAATGTCAAACACGAATAGACCTGCAAAAATACTAGATAGATTTGAGGCTGGAAAATAAGTTAACTAATAATAGATGATGTGGATTAAAGAAAAATGAATTGAAATGTCCACACATACACCTCTTGCTTGTATGAGAAACCTCACTTCTTTCAACACGGAACACTATTCTAGTCCTTATATTGGAAATAAACTTAATATTGGATTTGCTGATACTGATAGGCACACATTTGTAACGCGAAAAGGATCTTGATGAACATTGAGGATCCAGGTACGCTGAAGGGGTACAACTGCTTATAATGTCTGTTCAAATAAGACGCAAGTGTCACTGTGCATTCTGAGTGAGTGGATTGGTTTATTCTGAGCCCACGTTTACTTGAGAGAATTGATCTAAGAACCATGGTGCAAGTAAGAATAGGATTGTTGCAGTGTGTAACAGGTGATTGTGTGTCATCCAGCTGCGATGGCATCGGGGGTTCTTTTTCAATTAGTGTTTGTGATGGCTGTTCATCTGTTAACATTTAGTCTACAGTTCTCAATCAAGGAGACATGATCGGTCATAAAGAACAAATAGCAATAAATTTTCATTTATATTTTTATTTATAAAAATCATTTGAATATTTGACACTCCCTTGAAATGAAATTTAAAGTTGAGGCATTGTGGTGTCAGATGAATAATAAGTTAAGGATCACGGATAGACAGTCATTGGTCCCTTAGTCTGAGATTTTAACAATCTAGACACAATTTGTTTCACCCCATAATCTAGTTATGTCTTGTAACCACTAGTCCTATGGATACGACCATGGTGTCTATCCCTGTGAAGATGGGTCAGATCTGTTGATGAGTGCATCATGTTTTTGATGTCTTGCATATGGTCTGGATCAAGCTGAAACAAAGAACAAAGGATCATTTTCTAGCCAATGTCCAGAAGTGCCAAGGCAGTAGGTTCTTTGCAGTATACTTACTGTTTCCTTTTCTCTACGTACACACTAGACATTGAAGAACATCCATGCGATAAAACGTAATGTACAGACTGAGGCAAGCATACGTTTACAAAGCAAATCTTCAACCCAAGAATTGATTGATACTGAGATGGCTTAATTAATTTTTACCCACAAGACATTAGTAAAATGCTTTGAATCTTTCGCGTTCAACTGACAATAGTGTCAATATATTGTAAAAAATGTAACACATGGATTCAAAGAGTATGACTCATTTGTGGCTATTAATTTTTAGATTTTCTTGCATAAAGGGGTGGAATATCTAAACAGTTGACAGAACAAGATGGCTAAACACGTTTTTAGTAGAACCTCATATGGTACATTTTTAACAAAATGGACGACCTATAGCTGACAACTTCGTGCAATGTTCTCTACCTGGACATCGTATCACGTCTCCGCTGTTTTCGTCGCTGCCGTCGTCGCAATCTTGGTCAGTGTCGCATTTCCAGTGCTCAGGGATGCATTGACCATTGTTGCATGTGTAACGTTCTGGTCCACAAGTGTCTACGAAAGGATGAATCCATAAGTTGGTGAAAATGGTTTTTCAAGATGCTTCACAGGAAGAATCAAGAAACACACACACACACACACACACACACACACACACACACAGAGACAGAGTTATTGTTGGTACTGTTACATCCCAGCAATGTTTCAGTTGCAGAATCAGATTATGAAAGATGACATGGCTTTAAAATTGACATGTGGGCAATAACGCGCATCACAACCGCCTTCAAACAATCAAATAAGACTGTAAATTACACATTGATTACAAAGCGTGCAAAGTTCATTTAGATACCATGGCATGTGAAGGGACCAATGGTTTTGATAGTTAAAAGACCCCTGATATTACAGGATGCGAACACGTCAGTTGGATGGACCATATTGCTAACTGCTGCCTGTGTAGGCTTCCATTCTAGTTATTACGTCTGTAAATTTGTTTCGTTTCTTTAAGTGACGTAAGGGGAGATAAATCGTACGTTTTACTTTACAATTCGCACAACGCTGTTTCCGACAGTCTTGCACATTCAAGAGTACAGTCCATCCCGCCAAAACACGACCAATATTCACGAAACGTCGAAACGGATATTGGCTGGAGAATTATTTAAATTGTTGATCGGCGGTTACGCTTTTAAGGTTTCTTTGTGCAAGTGGGGCCAGGATTCAAGGAACTGATCTCGTTTTAAAGGAATGGGTGAAATGCTTGGGGCGACCTACATCTAAAGAGGAGTGTTAAACTGAACGTTGTTTAACTGGCAGTCGGAATTGTTTCAACAACTTTGTAATTATCGTGACTGGAAACATCGATTTTTTTTTCTTGGCATGTAATGTCTATCAACAAAGGAATCAGTGGGCTTGACAAGTTCTCGTATGTGAAAAGAAAGGTGACATTATTTTCGTTTGTTACCTAAATAGACATCTATCTATACTGGGCGTCCATACCTTCCTGTCAATATTTGTTTTCAAAGTAGACATTTAAAACTTGCGTTCACTGAAAAACCTAAATGAGAACATTTTGTAAATTGTCAACTTCTCTACTACGTGTTGTCTGAACGCAACTGGGGAGTGCATATTTTTCAGTTACTGCGCTTATGTGAAAAGGGAAGCTCTCGTAAAATATCGAACACTGATTTCACTCGCCAGTACTTCTGCTAAATAACGATGTAATTCGCACCAAGATTCTCTGATCTCTAATAAGAATTTTTATACTCCCGGAAAGATCCTGACCTATTTAATAGGTACCATAACCGTACTTCAGGAGTTCACCAAAGGGGTTAAACATAACAGTGCCACTTTACTCTTCCATCAGTTTTAATTCTTATGCTGTATGCAACGGCATTTTACTTTCAACTGTATACCGGAAGTCTGGGATCGCTTAGTACAATGGCACCCATGTCTTTCTTTCCCGAGAAATGTCGCTTTGTGCTGATGTGTACTATTGTAGTCTATAAACTTACATGTGCAGCCAACCTCGTCTTCCTTTCCCGGACAATCGTTATCAGCGTCACATCGCCATCTATCTGTAATACACTCTCCGTTTGAACACTGGAACTCTTCCTGTTCACATACTGTCAAAGAAATCAAGAACATTAAATGAATGGAGATCATTCTCATCTTTAAACTGGAAACGAAATACACATTTCTAAAATGATGTATTGATCTACAGTAACCCGGTTATCATATCGTCATTTTATAGAATTCGCAAAGTAATCTAAGCTTTAAACACATTTTCATTTACAATACTAACTTTAGATTCGGCTTAGGATTACATTATGCCTGCAATAATATTGAATCTTAACTATTCATTTCAAAACTATCCACCCTGCGCATCACCACTAAGCCCAAGTTGTATTGCCGCAACGAGCGCAAGTACCTAGGGCAGGCAAACCAGTCAGAAATCATGTAAGTTCCCGTTGGTGTAGTCAGATTTCCCCCGTTACCAAACAGAATATTGTGATCAATTAGAATACCTACGGTAGTATAATCCGAGCATTTAATAGGTGGGTTTCGATATGTTTCCCTTTCTTTCAAGTGGTATATATGCTATCTTGATAACGGTGTTAGTATCTACACCGAAACGTCGCACTCTTTGCTATAAAAAAAGTTACTACCCATTGAACTTGGAACCTTGACAATTTGCGTGAGGTTATATGAATGCCAGTTGTGACATCAGCATCTTCCCAGGAGTTCTTGGAAGGGCATTTAAAAGTCATGAAATATTTTTGAATGTCAACAATAATTGTTTAAACATGAGGTTTCGGAGTTAATTCTTGTTCATTCTTCCAGTGAATGTAGAGAGTGAACATGGACAAATATCTTGATTGTTCCATCAGGCAGATCCGTGTGAAAGCGCACGTAAAATCTCCAAATCATTATCATTGTTCATTCACCCGAAGGAGCAAGCATATACTCAAAACCGTACGCTTAAACTAATAAATTTGATGTCCAGTGGATTTTGAATAAGCCTTATCTTGAGCTGTATTAAGGTTTGGGCATATAGGACACCGTTTGCAGCCATGTTTGTTTTATATGTACCGATAAGCGCCTAAATGTTTGTACAACGTTAGTTCCTAAAAGGGAAATTCATTTGCATATTTATCGGACAGTGTGATAAGTTTATCCAATTGTCTTATCACATCAATGAGATTTATCAACTATGTGATACTTTAAGACAGGAAACTTTTCCAGCTTTTTAAAAAAGGGTGGATGCCCATTGATCAAGTTATAATTCAATGGACTGAATTAGCCAGAAACCTATGATCGTTGGTTCGAATTCCATATTCGTCCATTCTTTTCAGCACTATACCCACGCTCATAGGTTTTTTGAAAGGTTATAAACGTCTAAGCCCCTGTAGACATTTTTGTCCCACACCGAGACTACTCCCGTGACAAAAGTAAACAACTACTTTTGTAACGAACACGTGTTTAACGAACCTTATTTTTGAGTCGAGATGTGAATAACAAACTACCATTTTAACGAACTAAAATTAGTACTGTACTGTCCCATCTGACTGTAACGGGAGGGGGCGGTGGGATAGCCTAGTGGTTAAAGCTTCGCTCGTCACGCCGAACACCAGGGATCGATTCCCCACATGGGTACAATGTGTGAAGCCCATTTCTGGTGTTTCCCCGCCGTGGTATTGCTGGAATATTGCTAATGGCGGCCTAAAAACCAAAACTCTCTCATTGTACTGATCTAGATTCACTCGCCCACTCACTCGTTTGAAATGTAAATGTCATTACCGTTTCTGAGTATGAGTGAATGAAAATTTACGCCTGAATCGATACACAGGGGGCTTGTAACGCAATAAATGGCATCAAGGTTTTTACTGTCACTGACTGGGTCTCTGCAATATACATCGTTTATTTTATATGGTGCTGGGACCCCGTCTGTGACAGTATATACCTCGATGCCAGTTTTTGCATAACAAGCCCCTGTGAATCGATACATATATTACTAACGTTATAAATACTTAGGCTGAAACTTATCGCCGTAACACTTGACTGAAGGCCTGATACAAAATGGGATGTGTTAAATACTAATTGTTTGATGGACATTCTGGAAGTTGGTGACTCAAAAATGAAACATACACCTTTATGCAATAAATAAGAAGTTGTCATCGATAAAGTTGTATGTTTCATTTTTGTGTTAAATACATCACCGCCATTTCTTGTTTATCCACTATCAAACCTGGATGTGTACTTGCTTTTCCCAGCATAAAACAATACCACGACGACAACAAGCCATATTAAGAAACATACATATAACTATTTTCAACTGACCTGTCGCACTGTTGAGTCTGACGACAAGCACAACCACAGCTAAAACTAGCGTGAAATAGAGGGTCTTCATTTTCAACCAGCCTGATGGTCAAAGCAGGAAGGGTAGTATACTTGTGGGATGTAGAGCCAAATCTTGCTGTCAGTCACTGCTGTAACGTAAGTGTGTTTTCATCGCCTGATGTAGGTTTATATAGCATCCTGCTGTCGTATCTTGTTGCCAGGGTCACGTGAGATGGAGGATAATGGTTCAGGGAGTGCTGAAATCGCCAATGCGCATGAGATGATGAGGTCAGTTTGGTGGATGAGACAATATGTAGTTTTAGTTCAGATTGGAGAAAAAACTTCATATATATGTGTAGTCTTCCCAGTATGACTTTGATACGTCAAAGAATCGTACTATGGACTAATATTTTCTGTATAAAAAAATATTATGGACGTCAACCTCTTTATTGCAAACTCAACGTTTCTGGACTTTTTCCTTGCCCCTTCGTCAGGTGAATAACTTCCGTACCAACTTCTATATGCATCACAGAATCTAATATTTTCTGAACATTCTCTATGAAAAAGAATGTGAAATGGAACATAACCTTGCCGTACCTTATGTAAAAACCATTAATATGCACTGTTATTAACAGCAGACATGGGCGTGTATTGAACACCACATCTGATATATATTTTATTGTATGTATGTTCATTACTATATCAGATGGCTGAACATAATAATAATAACGTTTGTGTGTGCGTGCGTGCGTTTTCTATCCTGGACTAATACCAGAGTGATTGTGATAGCTCGCCGAGAGAACCATCCTCATCTTAGCATTCACACATAGTGTTGTAGCTCCGGGGCATCTATTCCTTCTTTTATCCACTTAATGCTGATTTCCGGGCAAGGTAACAACAAGTACATGTACCATCTTCGCAACATTTGTATGACACGACCGGTGATCGAACCAGCGACGTTTTTGTTCTCAGGGCGGTGTGGTAGCCTAGTGGTTAAATCGTTCGCTCGTCAATCCGAAGACCCGGGTTCGATTCCCCACATGGGTACAATGTATGAAGCCCATTTCTGGTGTTCCCTGCCGTGATAATGCTGGAATATTGCTGAAATTGGCGTAGAAATTAACTCACTCACTCACTACTCCAGTCATCAATCGCATCGATTCTTTCACTGTCAATCACGACATCATGTTGTTCTCAGTAGTATTTAACCTTGACCTAATTATCCACAGCAGCGTTGATTATCAGTGAGTGAGTATGGTTTTACGCCGCTTTTAGCAATATCACGGCGATGTACACCAGGAACGAGCTTCACAGACTGAATTATTAACTCAGGTAACTGCATCTGCAGTCACTATCAACTTTTAATGGCGTATCGTCATTTTAGCTATGTAAATACGTTGTATTTTAGACCGCGTACAGCAATATTCCAGCCACAATACCCAGAAATAAGTATCTCACATTCTGTCATGATGTAAAGCGTTATGACAACAAGGGAGGCGTTTTAAAAAGACCTTAGCGCTTAGTCCATGTTAAGTTACGGTCACCTTAACGCTAAGATCGCTTTGTACAAATGTACCCATGTTATCTCAACGCACCTTTAGCTGTGTGATATAATGGCCCAAACTTTATTGTATTCAACCTGTTAGTCCGGACCGACTCAAAAGCGGACCGATGAATTGCAATCTAACTCGAAAACTAATAAACATCATGAAACGCTGATCATAAACAAAACATCTATGTGAGGTTTTGCAGAATTTTGTCCTAAAAATAAAAAGTTGTTTAACGATCTATCATTAAAATATTGACACAGTTCACTATTTGTTACGAGGAGGAGGTGTAGAGAAAGGACAGCCAGGTGTTAGAGAAGCATTAACCTGTGCCGTCTCCATCCTTTCTGGAACACCTGGCTGTCCCTTTCTCTGCACTCCTCCCTCGTAACAAATAGTGAACTGTGTCAATATTTTAATGATAGATTGTTAAACAACGTTTTTATTTTTAGGACAAAAATTCTGTCAAAACCTCACAGAGTGGGTATGATGTTTTGATTATGATCAGCGTTTCATTGAGTATGTTATGTTTATTAGTTTTCGAGTTAGATTGCAATTCATCGGTCCGCTTTTGAGCCAAACGGAGTGTAGTTATATATGATTTAAGGCACAAGGAGAATTCTGTTTACTGTGTCCTCTCGGATGTGTTATCTTCAATCTGGCCCTATCAACAGCGATAGCGTTATCAGTATTTGCTGCACCTATGTTTTACTCCGATACTGACCAACGTGTACAAGGTGTCAGATTCCTCCACAATGACCGTTGTAGCTCAGGATTCTACCATGACCCCGGTCAGCGGAGATTTGTTGAATAATCAGCAGTTGATATCGGGAGATATCTCTGGGTATATCTCAATTATCGTGTCATGATGGTGTGCATCTGTAGTTGATGGGAACACGTGTTTACGAATGACCACACACTTTTATCAACTATGTGGGATATATCTGGATTAGACTACCTGGTTCCCAACGGAAAATTTGACAAAACAATTATTTTATCTTACCTTGTATAATACTGTTATCTGAGTGGACACTGCTGTTTAGACAAAGCTCCGCTAAAACCCGCTGACAATAGATAAACTCACGGGCGAAAGAAACGTCACCAAAATTATTAGTTATTTTTTATCTTTAATCGTACACTATAAGTGATTATTCATATCTGTAGTTCACACTTTCATCATTCAGAATGTTGTAGTAAATCCATTCATTTTCCAAATATGATTGTTAAATTTCCAAAATCTGAGTTTGTTGTTTTGTGACTGACTGACTGAGTTTAGTTTTACGCCGCTTTTAGCAATATTCCAGCAATATCACGGCGGTGTTGTTTTTGAACGTTAAAAAAACGAGGTGACGTTTCTTACCCACGTGAGTTTATAACGTAATGGACCAGACAAAATTTGTTCTTGTACTGTGCCCAAATAAGGGCATATTTCACGAACTACAGTGAGTGTGTTTAGTTTTACGCGTAATATTCCAGCAATATCACAGCGGAGGGCACAAGAAATGGGCTTCACACATTGTGACCATGTGGGGAATAGAACCCGGGTCTTCGGCGTGACGAGCTAACGCTTTAACTACTAGGCTACCCCACCGCCCCCACAAACTACAGTATCTCCTCTATTGAGTATAGGTTCCGATGAATACACAATGCCCTTTAAAAGTTATCAATTGTTACATATGTTATGGGGCTTTCTCAATAATATATGGCTACTTGTACCATCCGGGAATTTCATATGTTATACGGGGCTTTTAGCAATATTCTCAATATAATGTATGGCTACTTGTCGAACCATCTGGGAATTGAACCCACATTCTGAGAGTGAGTCATCTAATCCCCAGCATTCAAAGTGATACCCTAACCAATTCAATAAATTTTGTTGATCATGTACTTTGAGTCACAATTTGGAAGTATGATCCCAAATGTAAAATATTAGACTCAGCACAAAGTGATCTAACCAATTCAATAATGGTTGATCTTGTACTTCCTGATGACTTTACAATATCAGCCAAAGGTCCACGGCCGTACAAGACCAGGCCCCCATTTCTCGAAACAAACTTAAGTTATTACTCAAATCTCAAACTGAGTTTCACAATTTGGAACAGCTGAATTTTTAACTCAACTGCATTTTTTAAATATAAAAGCCCAAACAACTAAACTAATCTATCCACTAAACTCAAATTTTATAGTTTGAGTTTAATAACGATTTTAGTTCATTCTGTGAAATGCATTTTCCTGCGTTTTTTCAAATTTGAGTAAAAACTCGAACTGAAGCAGTGTAGGATAGATAGCCCGTCCCAACGTCCGAGACGGGCGAATTTTGTGGAGGACGGGTTAAAAAAATATCTAGTCCGTCCTCATGTCGGGTCAATTTTAGCAAACCAATGACATATATATAATGATTATAACCTTTTTGAATATTTACTGCCGAAGCTGTTTTATTTATATTTGGAGGACAGGCTAGATTTTGGCAGGACTGGTAAAAAAATTTACCTGCCAGTCCTGTGGACAGGCTAGATTTTCTACATCTTTCCTACACTGTCAAACTCAGACTTAAGTTGTTTTGAGAAATCGGGGCCAGGACCCTGCCATTCAAAGTTATCGTAAGACAGTTGCAGCTTGCATTTTCGTATCAAAGACTTTTGACAGTCATACAAAATGGTGCTGTAACGATGCATCAAACTATCAATAGATTGTGATTGTTGAGTCTCCGATAGCAATTAATCGATGGTAGAAACGAAAAACTATCGATGCATCGATAGTATGTGTGACTATCGATAGTTTAGTAATTGACTTCCGTTAATAAATACGCAGCGCAAAATACAGGAAATACCAGATTTGTTCACTTTGATTTAGAGTTATCAGCCATTGTTACTTCTTAAACAAATATGACGCAAACACGGTATGCGACTCGGAGTTTGAAAGTGTAAATAACAATAAATTTATGTTTTAACTGTTTACTTGATCTTGGTTTCAAGTTTCTTGACAGTTATTAAAATATACTGAAACTACTTCAACTTGTTTTTATGTCATATAAACTATACATTCATTTGGGAAATGACTTCAAATAAGACAATTCAAGGAGAGAAAATAACTATTGCAATAGTTGGTCGCCATAGTGAGTGAGTGAGTGAGTTTAGTTTTACGCCGCACTCAGCAATATCCCAGCTATATGGCGGCGGTCTGTAAATAATCGAGTCTGGACCATACAATCCCGTTAGTCGCCTCTTACGACAAGCAAAGTCGCTTTTTATGGCAAGCACATGGGTTGCTGAATTATAAGACCTATTCTACCCCGGATCTTCACGGGTTCGCAATAGACTATAGCTGTCGGAATAGTATGTCGCAATAGACTATCGTTATCGCAATAGTTTTTTCCACCTCAATAGTCCCACCTAGTACAAAATCATTATGTTGACAGCACTGAGCGCCCTCCCGTTGTATATTGTGAAAGTTTTGTTTCAGCCGAGTGACTAACGCTTGTAGGAATCATCAAATCCATCTAATTCTCTCCATTCAATCCATTCTTATACTTTCTCTTAAATGGCAGTCTGTTTGCTCCTGCGAAGGATCAGTTCTAACCCTGCTCATGCTGTTGGTCACTGGATTGTTTAGTCCAGACTCGATTATTTACAGAACTCCGGAATATTGCTGAGTGCGGCGTAAAAATAAACTCACTCACTTACCCAGTTCTGACTCCAAACTGATT